AGACTCGGGAATCTGTGGAAGGCAGAGGTCCAGAGGCACGCGCACGCACGCAGAAAGGATTGACTGCTGAGTGCGTGGCTGGCTTTCTAAAGCAGGCAGGAGACAGAAGCTCTCAACTGCACTGAGCGAGTTTCTGGGAAACCAGACTCATTCAGGGAGAAACTGGACTGTCTGGCAGCGGGTGAAACTCGAGGATGGCTTTCTTTCAGAGGTGCTTGCAGCGATTACAGAGGGACACTGAGACCCAGGGGCTTCATAGAGCAGGGTTGATGGGAAGCTGAGGCTGTTTATTCTGCCCTGAGACTCCACCCCATCCAAATTGAGTACAGAGGCTTTTCCAAGTCTTCTCCCATAAGGGTGTCTCCAGCACAGAAGTTCCCTCAGCGTAGACACAGCTGATCCTCACAACCAATTGGCCTGGAGGTCAATTCCTCCCAGTGATACCAACAACAATCAATACTTAACTATAACAAGGCTGTGCACAAAGTCCACAAAGGGCTGCACCAAAAGGGCCCACCTCAGGTAACTGGGGGAGGCTGAGCCACTCGGCCATATGACATCTACCACATAAAGCTACTCTACCAACTCAAGGAAGCAGCAAAAATACGGAGACAAAGAAACAGATCACAATTAAAGAAATGGATGAAAGCAAACAACTGGATATAGTGTTTAAAACCGCAGTTATAAGGTTTTTCAAGAATTTCCTAGAAAAGGCTGATAAATTTAGTGAGAGCCTCAATTACATGAAAAAGGACCAACTAGAAATTAAACATACACTGACTGAAATAAAAATAATATACAGAGATCCAACAGCAGACTAGAGGATCCGAGAATCAAATCAAAGATTTGAAATACAAAGAAGCAAAAAACACTTAACTGCAAAAGCAAAAAGAAAAAGGAATCCAAAAATTTGAAGATAGTGTAAGGAGCCTCTGGAACAACCTCAAATGTACAAACATCCATATTATGGGGTTGCCAGAAGAAGAGAAAGAGCAAGATACTGAAAACCTATTTGAAGAAATAATGACTGAAAACTTTCCCCACCTGGTGAAAGAAATAGACTTACAAGTCCAGGAAGCACACAGAACTCCAAACAAAAGGAATCCAAAGAGGACCACACCAAAATATATCATAATTAAAATGCCAAGATCAAAAGACAAAGAAAGAATATTAAAAGCAGCAAGAGAAAAAACAGTTAGCCACCTACAATATGATTGTCTGCTGATTTCTCAACAGAAACTATGCAGGCCAGAAGGGAGTGGCAAGAAATATTAAAAGTAATGAGTAGCAAGAACCTACAACCCAGATTACTCTACCCAGCAAATCTATCATTCAGAATTGAAGGTCAGATAAAGAGCTTCACAGATAAGAAAAAGCTAAAGTAGTTCATCACCACCAAACCAGTATTATATAAAATGCTGAAAGATTTTCTTTAAGAAGAGGAAGACGAAAAAGGTAAAGATAAAAATTATGAACAACAAATACATATTAACAAGTGAATCTAAAAATCAAGTGAATAAAAAATCTGATGAACAGAATAAACTGGTGAATATAATAGAATTGGGCATAGAGAGGAGTGGACTTACAATTCTTGGGGTGAAAGAGACGTAGGGGTTGCGGGAAGAGACTATACAAAAATCGTACACCTATGGGTGAGGACAGTGCTGGGAAGGTAAGGACAGAGGGTGGGGTGGGAACTGGGTAGAGGGGAGCTATGGGCGGAAAAAAGAGGAACAACTGTAATAATCTGAATAATAAAGATTTATTAAATTAAAAATGAGATATATCACATGCCAACTTACCTTACATATATTGTGAAATTATTACAATAACTTTAGTTACTACCCATCATTTTATTAAAAAATTGGAGTTTTTTTTCTTTGTGATGAGAATTTTTAGGATATACTCTTTATCAACTTTCAAATATATCATACAGCTGTATTAACTATAGTCATATGTTGTACATCCCTAGTACTTGTTCATCTTATAGCTAGAAGTTTGTACCTTTGACCACCTTCATTCAATTTCCCCATGCCCCATTTTTTTTTATTTATTTATTTTTTTTTTTGTAACAACTAAGACTTCATGGTCTTTGGCAAGTCTGAAAATGAGTGGAGAGGCATTGGCACAGTAATTGTAACAATCAATGATCAATGATGGATAATAGCACAACAGATCATTAGCATTGTGTACTTCCCAATGGAAATGCACACCATGACCTATGAAGTATTCTTGCCAAAAACATGACATTTGAACTGAGAAACACATTAAATAACAAAATTCAGAGCAAGATACTCTACAGTACAAAAAACTGGTCCCTTCAAAGACAATATTGCAAGGAATAAAAGATGTATTAAAAAGAGATTTAAGACATAACCAATGACACAGATACCAGGGGGTGAGGGCATGAGCGGGGGAAGGGTAGGGGTTTTAGGGGGATAAGGACACATATGTACTAGTAATACCTTAATCAATAAAGAAAGAAAAAATAACATAACAAATAAAAAGACTCAAGAGACTTAGTAACCAACCGTAATGTTTGCATCCTGATTCAAATAAACTGTATAAAATGTATAAGTTTTTTTTTTAATATAAAGAAAAGATATAAGTATTTTTCTTGCTATCAGGATACTACAAATCAACGACTAGAAAGTTTCCAACAAGACTAAAGCCTCATTTATTTTTTTTCTTTAACATACACATTGAAAGGGGGGAAAACAAAAACTAAGTCTTCCACTGCCCATCCCAGAGGCAAATTCCATTACCATTTTTTTTACATTACCATCTTTTCAGACTTGGATATAAGCATGCATATTATTCCTTGACTTTTGACAGTTATATACACAGATTTTATTTTTCTTCTCTTACTGTAAAATGCAACACACTAAAGAAATCTTTCAGTTGTCAATTTAAAGGCTTTCTTAAAAAAATGATTTTGCATAGAATGACTTGAAATTTCCAGTAAATTTTAAGTTTGGCTCTGTGTTTACCAAATCACTCTCTTCAAAAAATAGATCACATATTTTTCTAACAATATTTAAATCACTTTGTAGCTCATTTTTCTAAAGGTGCAGGATGTTAAGTGTTTCTTTAGGAATATTCTGTCCTCTGACACTGTCATTTGAATAGCCTAGTTTGCAAAGAGCTTTTCGATACATCTAATCCTTCCTATAGCCACTCTGGATAGGTACTATTCCCATTTTAATAGCTCCAAGAGCCCAAGGGCCCTTCCTTTACTTCTATAACTAATTTCCTAAGCCTATTTCTTCTAGGAATTATTTTCTTCTTCTGTGATTTACCAAATAAATATTCTTTTACCAAAAAAAAAAAAATTTACAATTTGTGGATTGTGTTTCACAGGTTCTCAGTAAGTTGGAAGGGAAATGTTTTTAATCCCATGTGTATTTATTTTAAAGTAATTATAATTAAAAAACATATTCATACCTGAAATCTATATGTTCATGTTGAGCAATATCACCCCAATAAATTTAATAAAAAATAAAATAAAAACATATTCATCTACTTACTCATCCAAACCTTTATTAAGTACCTATGATATGCACAATCCTGTGCAAAATATTAAAGGAATACAAAGATGGATTTTAAAATTATGTCAACTCTCAAAAAGTTTACAATCTATGGTAGTGACAAATAGTTTAACACAACTATAAAAAAAAAGGAATAGCAAATAATCATTTGCTCTTAATTAGGAAAAATCACCTTATTTCTTCATTTAAAGCATAAATTTCCAGTAGGTAAATACTGCTATTATATACCTTTATTAATTAATCCTCTTTATAAGTTGATTATTTTTATAAAAGAAAATGTCTCACTCTATCACATCTTTATGACTGGTTTAAATTTTTATAACAAAAAATTTGCTTAAAGAGGAAAAATGATAGTCATAAAATCAAATTAACATCTTTCTCAAAAAACAAAGGGTGTGGTTGCGGGCATATCCCCAGTAGGGGGTGTGCAAGAGGCAGCTGATCAATGACTCTCTCATCGATGTTTCTAGCTCTCTCTCTCCCTTCCTCTCTGTACAAAATCAATAAAATATATTAAAAAAAAAAAAAAAAGACAAAGGGTATCTGCAATAATATGTAAAAAATTGAACACTCTGGTTTTATATTAAAAAGGTAAGCCTGAATTACTTTTGAGACTTGCCTTGGACAAGTTATTATGCACAATTTCATCTCATTTAAAACCAACTTGATATTTATTAAGATTATAATTCAGAATTCTATAATTATTTCTGTCATAATACACAAAGTTAAAAAATAAGTATAAAAACTAATAATTTCTATGTAAAAAATAATTTAGCATAAAACTAGAGATAAAAAGAAAATTGACAATAGGGTAGATAATTTAATAATAAGTTTTCAGTGCAGAAATAAATGTAAATTTGCAAATACCTGTTTTTTTCTTCTATATTTTATTACTTTAAAAAAATGATCCAGATTTTAAAAATAAAAATAAAAATGGTTCAGATAAGGAACTTAATAGTAAAACAACTGTGAGGGTTCATTTTGTAAGATGTATTGCAGAGAAAAAGTATGGGCAAATAGCACAATTTTAAAATATGTATTGATTCATGTTTCCCAGAAAAAAATTTCCAAACAAATCACCAAAGGACAATACTTTTCTCTGCTCTCAATGCTAAGCCTTTTTTTTTTTCTACCAAAATGATAACATAATAACTAATCAGTTTGTGACAGCTGTGATTCTCAACTGCTTTTTTTAAAAATACAAGTAAGAGCAAAGTTGCAAACAGAGCACATGTAGCAATTTAAAAAACTGAATAGGCAAAGCCTTACTCTGACTAAATGACTAATCAGCTGGATTTGCCTTTTTGGCTACAGATAACTTTGCTAAAGAGCCCTGCACACATCAGAAGGGCTCCTTCCCATCCAGGTTCCTAACAAAATAAGCGAAGCTGCTAACACCGGATGCTGCAAGCAACAGCCCAGGCACAGAGAGGGGGCCCTGCTGGTTTTGTTTTATTCTTCAACAGATTTCTCTTCTCCACTTCCTTCTTCAGCTTCATTTTCCTTGCAAGAATCCTGGCTGTTGGTTTCAGTAAAATAATTTTCTTCCCCATTCTCTCTTTCTTCGATATTTTCTTCTTCATTAAAGCTAGAGGAAAAAATGCATCAATCTTTCAAAGGAAAAATGGTTTGGCTTAAAGGAAAACAAACCCTTTGCAATGTATGTCATCATGAAGTCAGTTTTCCTCAAGTGTATGATCTCCAATTTATCAAAAAAAATTCTATAAAAGTGCCAATTGGAAAGTAAATATTCCTCTGAGAACTAATTTATTTTAAAACTTGGTTTACTCTTTAAACTTCAATTGAAAGCATGTTATTATATTCATTACTTATGCAGTCAGAAATTATTCTGTTCAAAAACAAGATATTTCATCACCATGTAATATTTGAATGTCAAAAATATCAAAATATTAATATGTTTTACAACAGTTCACATGTATTTCATTAGGTAAAGTTCCTTTTAAAATATAGAACAGAATTTTTACTTTCCTGCAGGTAAGAATCTTTTCAGAGGTATACCATTCAGACATTTTATATATGTTACCTTTCTTTATCTTCAGTGAAACTTTTCACCTCTTGATTGCTGAAGGACTCAAATATTTTTCCACTTTGGCCTTTCTTTGAAACAAACTCATCAGATATTCCTAGTGCTTTTAGGGTGTTAGAATAATGCTTTTCTGCTGCCATTCTTGCATTTTTCTATAGGAAAGACAAACCTTTTTAAATGAGAAAAGATTTTACCTTTCCATTAAAATGTATGTGTTAAAAGCTCCAGTGAAAATTAAACTCAGTAATCACAGTTGGCTGAAAATACACATCCTTTCTCACCAGCAATTCCATTCCTAGGTATATACCCAAAGAAACTTTACATGTGCCCCACAAGACATGTATAAAAATGTTCAGAATAGTACTGTTTGTAACAATCCCAAGCTGGAAACAACCCAAATATCAATAGTAGGATGGATAAATAAATTGTAGTCTATTAATACAAAAGAACAAAATAAAGCAATTAAAATGAATGAACTCTAGTTATACACCACAACATGGATGGATCTCACAAACATAATATTGAGCAAAAGAAACAAAATACAAGAGTGTACACACACACACACACACACACACACACGTATATTTACACTAATAAAAGAATAAGATGCAAATTGACCATACCTTCGTGGCATTCACCCACCAATCAGGAGTGAGCATGCAAATTAACCTGCCAAATATGGTGGGCTAATTTGCATACACAGGCACCGAGTGTTTAGGGGTGGTATGGGAAGGTGGAAAGACAGCTCCAGCCAGAGCAAAGGCAGTGCCAACAGCCAGGGGCAGGAAGGCCAATACTTTTTTTTTTATTTTAATAAATGTTTTATTGATTTTTTACAGAGAGGAAGGGAGAGGGATAGTTAGAAACATCGATCAGCTGCCTCTTGCACACACCACACTGGGGATGTGTCCACAACCAAGGCACATGCCCTTGACCGGAATCGAACCTGGGACCTTTCAGTCTGCAGGCCAATGCTCTATCCACTGAGCCAAACCAGTTTTGGCAGGAAGGCCCATTCTTGCACAAATCTTCATGCATCAGGCCTCTAATGTGTGTGTGTGTGTGTGTGTGTGTGTGTGTGTGTGTGTGTATGTGTGTATATTATAATATATGTATATTATAATGTATGATTCATATACAAAAGGTCCCCAACAGACAGGCAAAACTAAAGTATATATAGGGATAAATCATAGATGGTAAACTGCAAAGAAAAACAAGGAAATGCCTATCTCAAAATTTAGAATGGTGGTTACCTCTAGGAGAAAGGGAGAGGGTTTGACCCAGGAGAGGCACATTGGGTCTGAGATGTTGGCAGTGCTCTATTTGTTAATCTGGGTGGTGGCCACTTGAATTCTGATACAGAATTATTCTTTACACTGTGCCTATTTTATGATTGCTTAAGAATTTCTGGAAAAATCAGTAAGAAAATAAGTTCACATAAGGCCTACCCATTTTGGCTCAGTGGATGGAGCATCAGCCCGAGGACTGAAAGGTCAGAAGCACATACCTTGGTTGCACGCTCGATCCCCAGCCCTGTTTGGGGTGGATATAGGAGGCAACTGGTCCATATGTCTCTCTCACATCAATGTTTCTGTCTCTCCCCCTCCCTTCCACGCTCTCTAAAGGTAAATGGAGGGATATCCTCGGGTGAGGATTAACAAACAAGACAAAACAAAAAAATAAGTTCATGTGATCATTTTCAGAGGGTTTTTTATGTGCCTACTATAATTTCTGGTTTTTATAAGCCATATCTCTACTCCATCACAGATAACAATCATCAGTGCTGTTATCTTTACTCTGTAGAGGAAGCAACAGATACAGAAAAGAGACACACACACACACACACACACACACACACACACACATGAATTTAGAACTGGGTTCAAATCTCCAGAAAGGTACTTCCTGGCTTTGGGATCTGTGGGAATTATGATGACCCTCTCATACTGGAAGCAAGTCAGCAGTTGTCACAGTTCCCGAGACCGCTGGCTTTAGGGAGCCACAAGATAACCGGGGTTCACACCAAGGCTTTAGCGTTAGTCTGCTTTTAGCTCTTATGAGTGGATATGAGCTAGGGCCAAGAATTGCCCTCTGGACTTCCAACAAAAGCAGAGTGACCAAAATGGCCCAATTCTATGGCACCCAGTCTCACCCCCCAATTTAACAAAGAAACCAAGATGTTCCCATCACCCTCACTGAGATTAAGCAGTTTGCTTAAGGTTCACAAGAATGGCAAGCAGCAGAACCAAGTCTCTTGCCTCTTTCCTAGATCTTTTCCACTCCCCCATGCTGCTTTTATCTAAACGGTAGGGGTCATCCTGGACTTTGAAGGAAGCCTAAAGCCTGGCTTCAGCAAAGCTATTGCCAGATATTTGCCCCATCCAGGTACTCCAGTTAATGAGGGATCATGGAGTCTAATGTTCATGGGAGAAATCAAAATAGTAAACACTGATTACAATGGATAAAACTATCAGCAGTGCATTTTCTGACATCTGGAAAACTGAAAAAGAAACACTTTAACTGCTGCTACCATGTTTCCCCGAAAATAAGACATCCTCTGAAAATAAGACCTAGCGCATAGAAAGATAAGACATCCCCTGAAAATAAGATCTAGCACAACTTTGGGAGAAAAAATTAATATAAGACACTGTCTTATTTTCGGGGAAACAGGGTAAAATGCACCTAATCTGAGTGACACTCCAGAAAAGGAAGTGAATAAGCATCCAGAGGCTCTGAATGCCGACAGGCCAGCCTTGGGGGAACTGAAAGGCATGGAAAAGTATGAATGCATTAAGAATGGCATGTACTGCCCTAGCTGTTTGGCTCAGTGGATAGAGCATCAGCCTGTGGACTGAAGGATTCCAGGTTCAATTCCGGGTTGCAAGCTCCATCCCCAGTGTGCGGTGTGCATGAGGCAACCAACCAATGATTCTCTCTCATCAATGATGTTTCTATCTCTCTTTTCCTCTCACAAATAAAATATTATTTGTAAAAAGAATGGCATATTCTGATTTAAGCAAAATAGATTAAATACTAATCAAAGTTAGTGCTCATAAACCTTCACCTGAATCTGCTTTAGAATTCAATTTAACATCTATTCAGTTAGCAAGCTGTGATTTCCAAGAAACAGGATAACATGGTTTGTTCTGTACTGCATTATAGGCAGACTGTTGGGATAATTCAATAGCAGCAAGACCACAATTAACACTTATAAATGGGTAATGCTTAAAGTTGTGAGTGAATTTATTACATAACAGCTGTTAATTAGCACCAACAGACACAGCAAAATAGACTGCAAGAAAAAAGTACTAATTTCTGTGAACAAAACCAAAGCAATGGTGAACACTGCCAGTCATTCTGTATAAGGAAATACCTTTTAATATTTCACATCAAGGTGAATAGTGTGTAATTGTTAATTAAAACATTTCCCCCTTGCATTTCACCATGCAAAAGAATTAGAGATAAAAGGAACAGTTAAAATAGCTTCACAATTGTTTATTTTACTATTAAGCATCCTGCAAAAAAATTGTGTTCCATGAAACCAAAATAACAAGTGATGAAAGTTTGTCTATCAGCACCTACATTGAATGAAAAAATACTTATTTTTTATATAATTTTTATAACTAAGTTTATAGTAATTCTTTCATTTATTTAATAATTACTAAGTACTCATTTTGTGACAAGCCCCCGTGGAAGGTAGGGGGTATATATGAAAGTTATTTTGGGCAAAGGGAACAGCATATGTGAGGGCCAAAAGTGATAGAAGAAATATCAGCTATGAAACTAACCTATGTTTTCAACATTTAAAATGTATTTATGAGTTTAATTTCATACTCACCACTTGTTTTGCCACATTTTCTCTTGTGCTTAGAAACAGTGGGAATTCACAATAGGGCAAAAGTGCTTGTTACTGTTGAGACTCATCACTAATTCATCAGGGTAATGCTTTCAGCCTGGGCTAATCCCAGAAAGAAAATGACAAGTCAATCTGGCTAATTTGATTATAACAGTTCAGTTTTGGTTCAACAAGTGTTTATTAACATCATTTCTGTTTATGATATTGTCCTAGATGTCAGGATTATACTCCCTTTAAAATTAACTAGTTGTCCAGCTGGCATGGCTCAGTGGGTGAATACAGACCCATGAACCAGATCACAGTTGGATTCGATTCCTGGTAGAGGCAGGTTTGATCCCTAGTGGGGGCATGCAGGAGACAGCAGATGAATGATTCTCTTTCATCATTGATGCTTCTATCTCTCTCTCCCTCTCCTTTCTCTTTCTGAAATCAGTAAAAACATACTTAAATCAGTGTTTGAGTGATGAACCAGAAGGTCCAGATTCATTCCCAGTCAGACTCATGCCCGGCGTGCAGGAGGCAGCAGATGAATGATTCTCTCTTATCAATGACATTTCTGTCTTTCTCTCCTTCTCCCTTCTTCTCTGAAATCAATACAAAAATATATTTTTAAAGTAACTAGCTGGAAGGAAGAGAGATCATTAAAACTTCCACACAGCATGGTAGGAGCAAAGAGAAAGGTATGCAAAGGCTAATAAAAGAACACGGAGGAAAGGGCATCAACCCAAGCAGAGGAAACTGCAAGAAGTGATTTTACACTAAGACTTGAAAGAGTAGGAGGAAAGAAAGGAAAACGCTCTAAGGATGTTCAGAAACAGCATGAATAAAGATTTCAAGTTTGAAACTAGTAGTCTGGTATGGCCTGAGAGTAAAAAGGTGTATAAAGTTCAACATGAGGGGGAGCACAGTGGTAGATTAACTAAAGATGTTGACAGGGGTCAGGTCATAGAGGATTCTATATACCATGATACCGCGGTTTATCTTCTGAGAGAAAGCAGGACAGCTGTGTTGTGTTTGGAAGCAGATTGATTTGGGTTCCAATCCCAGTTCCATTATTTAATAACTATAAATTTTAATAATTACTTGCCTTCTTTCAACTTCAGATTCTTCCTCTGCAATATAGGACTAACAAGTTTGTAGCGTTTTATTGAGAAGTCAATGACAAGACCTCTTGATACCATTTACTGGCAATGAGAATGAATGGCTCGGTGAATGCGTGACTGCCACCATTATCAAGGGTTAACAACTACCTACCCAGGGTTAACATTTTTGCTAGGGAATAAGAATGAATGGCAAAGTAAAGATATAATGGGTGGCTTTGCAAAGAGCAGGACAGGCAAACAAATAAAAAGATTATATTAACTCAGATAGGAAATAATAGAGGTTTCACCTGGCATTTCATGAAAAGAAGTGGAGAAAGACAGATCCAAAAAGGATATAGGGATAAAATTGGTCAGTTTTCTCAGTGACAATCAAATGGGAGGAATAGTGATTCCCAGTCATCCTAAATAGTGGTCCAGGCAAAACAGAGGAGAATCTAGTTTGGGAGAAATCTAGTTTAATAACCACCAGATAAGAGGACATAAAACCTCTCATGTTAGCTGCTCTGAGCCAAAGTCAATCACTTTACACTAAATAATATAAAACAGCTTGTGATTTTTCCCTCTAAAGTTGAAACTGAGATGTTAAAAGAAACCCACCCCTTAAAATGACAAGCATTACATAAAATTATATCCAAATCAGCCAAAACCAGTTTGGCTCAAAGGATAGAGCATCGGTCTGCAGACTGAAAAGTCCCAGGTTCGATTCCAGTCAAAGGCATGTACCTTGGTTGCGGGCACATCCCCAGTAGGGGTTGTGCGGAGGCAGCTGATTGATGTTTCTCATCATCGATGTTTCTAACTTTCTATCCCTCTCCCTTCCTCTCTGTAAAAAATCAATAAAATATATATTTTTAAAAATTATATCCAAATCAGTAAAAGGTCCCCATAATTTTGAGGAATTATAATATGTATATTAACCCATAAAACATTCCTCTAGTCCTCAATGACTTGCAGCCTCCAGTGATTGTCTATTGTTAAGCTATGTCACCCCTAGGAACCTCTCCCTTATCAGTACTAAGGCAAAGATTATCTGAAATTGACAAATTTCTCTTAATGGAAAGACTGTTAAACTGAATGTAAATTTAGTTTTTCTGATAAAAAGAAGATCCTTTCAGTAATTATAGATAAGATTGAAAAGTATAGACTCGTTTAAAAAAAGCAAATAAACAAAATGAAAAGGCAACCTATGAATAAGAAAAATATTTGCAAATCATATATCTGATAAGGAATATTCAAATATATATATATAAAGTACTCATAAAAAATCAATAGCAAACACAAAACAAAACAATACACCCAACTAATCCAATTTAAAAGTTGGGAAAGAACTGAGTAGGCATTTTTCCAAAGAAGATATTCCAATGGCCAACAGGTACATGAAAAGGTGCTCAACGGCTGCCAGGCTGGGAGCGGCCAGGCCCGGGGGAGCAGGCGGGTCGGGTGCGGCCAGGCCCAGAGCAGCGGCTGCCAGGCTGGGAGCGGCCAGGCCCGGGGGAGCAGCCGGGTCGGGTGCGGCCAGGCCCGGAGCAGCGGCTGCCAGGCTGGGAGCGGCCAGGCCCGGGGGAGCAGGCGGGTCGGGTGCGGCCAGGCCCGGAGCAGCGGCTGCCAGGCTGGGAGCGGCCAGGCCCGGGGGAGCAGGCGGGTCGGGTGCGGCCAGGCCCGGAGCAGCGGCTGCCAGGCTGGGAGCGGCCAGGCCCGGAGCAGCAGCAGCCAAGTCCAGAGCAACTAGGTCAGGAGCGGCAGTGACCAGACCCGGAGCAGCTGGTTGTGGAATGAACCAGAGCAACAGAGGCCAGGCCCTGAGCAGCCAGGCCCAGAACAGCTCGCTCCTTGCCTGCCCCTGCCCCACGGCTGCTTCTCAGACATGGCTGGAAACTTTCGTGGGAACTTGAGGGTTCTGCTGAATCAAGTGATGAAGGCTTAGATCTGGATGTGTTGAGTTAGTATAGGGCTGGGGTGTTGATCTGTGAGTGCCTTGGGTGGGGCCTGGATGAGGCTGGTTGACCTAGTGGGAAATGTCTTTTGTGTGAAGTGTATCATTGGGCATGTGGAGGTATTATTGATATGAGAAAATGCTAAGTAACTGATTTACTATCTGAAAAGGGATTTACTATTGGGGAAATTGAGGGAAGAAGAGACTGAACATAAACTGCACCTATGGATGAGGACAATGGGGGGTGGGGGGGCGGACGGAGGGTGGGGTGGGAACCTGGTGGAGGGGGGAAGAAATGAGGAACCTTTGTAATAATATGAACAATAAAGACTGATAAAAAAAAAAAAAAAAAAAAAAAAAAAAAAAAAGGTGCTCAAGCCCTAGCCATTTTGGCTCAATAGATAGAGTGTCAGCCTGCAGACTGAAGGGTCCCTGGTTCAATTCTGGCCAAGGGCACATGCCGGGTTGTGGGCTCGAACCCCAGTAGGCATGCAGGAGGCAGTCAATCAATGATCCTCTCTCATCATTGATGTTTTTATCTCTCTTTTACTCTCAGGCCATACCAGACTACTAGTTTCAAACTTGAAATCTTTATTCATGCTATTTCTGAACATCCTTAGAGCGTTTTCCTTTCTTTCCTCCCTTTCCCTTCCTCTCTGATGTCAATAAGCAATATATATAGAGAGAGATAAGCAATATAAGCAATAAGCAATATATATATATATATATATATATATTGCAATATATATATATTGCTTATTGCTTATATTGCTTATCTCTCTATATATATACATACACACATATATATATATATATATATATATATATATAGAGAGAGAGAGAGAGAGAGAGAGAGAGAGCGCTCAATATGAATAATCAAAGGGAAATGCAAATCATTAGGTGATAGGTGATATTTCACAATGAGATACCTCCCCCTGGTTAAAATGGCTATTGAAAAGATAAGAGTCCTAATGGGTTTGGCTCAGTGGATAGAGTCGGCCTGTGGACTGAAGGGTCCTAGGTTCGATTCCGGTCAGGGACATGTACCTTGGTTGCGGGCACATCCCCAGTTGGGAGTGTGCAGGAGGCAGCTGAACAATGTTTCTCTCCCACTGATGTTTCTAGCTCTCTATCTCTCTCCCTTCCTCTCTGTAAAAATCAATAAAATATATTTTTTAAAAGATAAGAGATAAATGCTGATGAGGATGTGAAGAAAAGGGAAACCCTGTGCACTATTGGTAGGAATGTATAGAAGTACAGTCACTAGGTAAATAGTATAGAGGTTTCTCAAAAAATTAAAAATAGAACTATATGATCCAGCAATCTGACTTCTGGGTATATATCTAAAGAAAATAAAACCACTACCTCAAAGAGATATCTGCTCCCCCATTCATTGCAGCATTATTTATAATAGCCAAGAAAGGAAAACCTAAGAGTCCATTGGAAGGTGAATGGATGAAGAAAACATGGTACATATACACAATAGAATACAATACATCCAGAAAAAGAAGGAAATCCTGCCATTTGCAGTGGACTTCGAAGGCGTTATACTAAGTTAAGTCAGAGAAAGACAAATATTGTACGATCTTATTTATATGTGAAATCTAAAATTTAAAAAACAAACAAACAAAAAAACAGGAGGAATTGGATGAAGGTGGTCAAAAGGTACAAATTTCCAGTTATAAGATATGTAAGTTCCGGGAATGTAATATAAAACATGGTAACTTTGTATGAGATATTTGAAAGTAGCTGAGAATGAATCCTGAAAGTTCTCATCACAAGGAAAAACAACTGGCGGTAAGTATATGAGGTGATGAATGTTAATTAAACTTACTGTGGAATCATTTTTAAATTTATGCATGTCAAGTCATTATGTCGCACACCTTAACCTTATCCAGTGCGGTATTATATCTCAAAAGGAAACAAAAACAAGCCCACTGGCAGAAATAAATCTGATTCAATTAGCCATTTTGTTTCATTTTTTAATTCTTCAATGACCTCCAAATCATATCATGAAGCCTTAACTTAATATTTGGCCAAGCTGGTATGAAAAAAAGACCAACTATTAAAAACGTGTTGTGGAACTATTCTTTTGGAAATAATTAGATTAGTAGTATGTTCTTTATTAAGCTTACGTGCCTCATCAACAAGATTCAATCTTAGATTTTGGCAAAATTACTTACTTCACTGGCTTGAAGCTGTCACAGAAACATATGTCTTAATACAATATATAGCACGTAAGAAAAATGGACTGTTAGTTACGAGCTGTATATGTTTAAAAAAACAAAAACAAAAAACACACAACTGACAGTAGCTCTTAAATTCCAACAAACACAACCTGAGCAACTCTTTGAAATAGTAGTGGCCTGTGTTTTAATTTTTCTTCTCTTTCTTCTAGTTCTCGTTGGTATTCTCTCATCCTTTCCTTTTCACTCTTTCTAAAATCAAACAGAAGGAGTAGAATTTTAAAAAGAAATAAGAACTTGTATATATAACATTTTAGCTTAGATGGCAAATTAGAAATTAAATTATGACACAATTTACAATTGACCACCATTCTTTTTCTAGACTGGTCAATTTTGCAAATAACAGAACTGGAACACAGAATAAAAATTCTAGGTTCTGATAGCACACATTTTTACATCCTGGGAGCAGTCTTTGTACTCTGAAGGTTCTGAAATCTTCAAGACATGTTTTACGGGGCTTCAAACTGGCCTGGAAAGATGAATGAATGAATGTCTTCTTATTTCATATGTAAATGTATAAAAAAAATTGGTCCAAAATGTTCTCTTTAATAAATTTTTTCTGAAAATAAAAACTTGTTGTTCTTTATTCCCTTAAATGAGATCTACTATAGGTTGGTAGCAAAGATAATTAATGAGACGAGGAGAAATGAGGCATATGGGATTATAATATATAGAAGAATAGGAACCAAAATACATAAATTCACAGTAAGTGTACTTATTATTTGGTCAAGATCCAATAATGAATTAAACTATGCTATTTCTCTATATTAAATATACTATCAAGATAATAAGATTTCATGGATTAGAGGAAGTAATTATACTGTAAAATGATAACTATGTTTAATTATATACAAGTTGATATTATTAAAAATCCAGTTTACTTTTTAAGGATGAATGAATATTTCTAAGGAATTATTTTGCTCACGTTCATTAAATTAAGCTCCTTCTACCAATGAATTGATATAAGGAGCTATATTCCTTATAATGTCTGACAGTGACAGACATTATAAGGAATCCTATATAATAAAAACCTAATTATGCTAAGTGTCTGACCATTACTTTGACACTTCAACCAGTTTCTATGACATGCACTGACCACCAGGGGGCAGATGCTTCAACCCATAGGTTAGCTTGCTGCTGGAATCCTACAGGTCAGGACTGGGGGAGACGGGCTGGGCATGCCCTGGAGCCTGAGGTTCTTCCCCGGCCAGGGTGTGGTCCTGGATTGTACCAGGTCTCTAATTAAAAGGAAATATAGATATTGGGGAGTATTATAGATCAGATTAAAAATTAATAAATCATATTACTTACCCAGCTTTGGGGGAGTTATTTTCCTACTTAAATATGAACATTTTAATGTTTATGTGTAACATTAAAATGTTACTCTGGAACATTGATTTTCAAACTTTATTCTGCAGAATTCCAGTGTTCAGTAAAGGGGTTCTATGAATGTTATTTATTTATTTATATTAAAACTGTGACAAAATGGAACCCATATCACTAAACACACCTGTTAATCGACACTTTCACATAATTGATGTTACTTAACACCAGTGTTAACCTGTGCTATCAGATTTCATGTAAATCTTAGAACAAATATCTTTTACATATCTGTTAATTGAAGAATATTCTAAGATTACATGACAAGCTGTTGAAAAAGCTTTATATGTGTGCCTCAAGATTTTTCTCAATATTATATTGTGCAATCAAAAATAATATAAAGAAAAAGATTTAAAATGCCAATATAAGATATTAACTATAGCCACAATATAAAACATTTCTGTTCAATAACATAGCTTCATGGTCCTCACCATCAGGTGTGTATACATTTATATGTTGGTTCTCACCATGAGGTTAGTGAGAGAATGTGAGTGTATGTGTGTGTGTGTGTGTGTGTGTGTGTGTGTGTATTGAATATAAGTAACTGATAATAATTTGAATCCAGAAACTAAAACACTAATATTATTCTTAATTTGTTCATATATTGATTTTTTTTTAAAGTTTGAAAACCAATGGTCTAGAGGTTCAGGATTCTTTCATGATACCTGAGAGATTTTATCCTGGATTTAGACATTTGAGCTAAACTTTGATGAGAGTCATAAGCCTTAGTCCGGGTTGTTAGGAGTTTCTGCAATTCTTTCATTCTTTGTTTCTGCTTAGTTAGGATCCGAGTTCTCTCTTCTTCCAACATTTTCTTTTCCTCAAGTGATCTCCTGAGGGCAACAAACTAAGGCTTAATTCACTTTAAGCCAATGAAAATGTTGTTAGCAAAGATTTCACACAGGGTAATTCAAAGGCTGAAAAAAAGCAACCTTTTGAGAAGGATCTGACTTTTGAACTTGGAAATCAATAGGCCAACTCTAACCTTTTCTATTCCCAAGGATTCATAAAATAGAAATTATATTTCTTAGCACACACTTTTGCAAAATGTTCTATATTGTATAGTAAATATATTACCAGATATAGTAATTTCTTCATACTTTCAAATTCACCAACATAAAATTAATAGTCCCAAGTACACTATTTTAGCAATCATAGGTCAGTCGATGCAGTATCCTAGTTATTTACCTGGTGGCTTGTTCTCTTCCTCTGGAAGATACTGTGGGCATTGGAAGTTTGCAGTTATAAGGCGCACGTTTTGCATTTGGACTTCTTACTGGTGACTTGTGCCTTAAAAACTGATAAGCCCAATGTGTTTCTTTCAAATTTTCTTCATCTGCTTTATTATCTGCCGAATTTTTCTCTCTTTTAGTAGATGCGTGTGAGGCTGCATGAGGATCAGATGGTTTGAAAGCTAATAGGATTTTTGGACTTTTCTGTTCTGAGAGGTGCTTCTGATATCGCTCAGGAGGTTCTCCACAATCAGCAATCTGGCAGCTAGACTTGCATTTACACTTCACCCTTTCAGCGTGTTCGCGATCCTTGGGCTTCCTGGCAGCAAAACTTCTGTGTGGTGGGCTGTAAGGCGGAGGGGATGAATTCGGTGAGAGTTCTTGTGCTCTCAGCTGTTTCTTAAAGTTTCTAAAGAGCTCTTCTTCTGTGAACCTGTTATTGGTAGTGGAACCATAAGTAGATCGAGGTATAGGTCTGGCTTTAAATCGATTTGTTTTCTTTTTAGCCTTAATAAAGTCTCTCAGCTGCTTTTCCCGGATTGCTCGCTTTTGTTCCTCCCTTGCAATAAACTTAAAGGGCTTTAGTGAGGCCAAGAGCACTTCTTTGTTTTTCTCCTTCATAGTCCTCCTCCGTTCTTCATTTTGCTTGACTCTTTCATGATAAAGGGGGAGAAAGACAAATTCTGGAACCGGGTTGGCTCGGAATTTTTTCTTACACTCCGAATCTTCCTGCTTTTTGAGCAGTTTTTCTGCCATTTCAATATCTGGTTTATATTTCATGTTCTCTTCTTTTTTCTTCTCTTCTCTAATCATCATTTGAAAAGGCTCAGGTATTGTAATCTTTGGCACCCATTCTTTTGATTTCTTCCTTGTTTTTTTAACTGCTGGCAAGTCAGCATCTTCACAATGAACGTAATCTTTAACAGAAAAGTTGGTCCACATGTTGTTGATGAGCTCCTTAGCATAGGTCATCATTCTGCTCTTCTCAGGATGGTCTTTTTCTAAGTTGGGCAGCTCATCTTCAGAGGAAGACACAATCAAGGAGGAAGAATGACCTAAATCAGGTTCTGAAAGTGATGTGATTAACGAGATAGGGCAATAGTTCTTTTCCGATACACACCTAAATGAGAAGAATAATTAGGTTACACTTTCAGTTGAATTTGACCAAATATAAAAATTACGAATTATATATTTTCTTAGATCAAGATACAATCAATTAACCCAACTGGTGTGGCTCAGTGGTTGAGCATCGGATCTATGAACCAGGACGTTATGGTTCGATTCCCAGGTTGTGGGCTTGATCCCCAATAGGGATGGCATGCAGGCAGCAGCCGATCCCTGATTCTTTCTCATCATTGATGTTTCTATCTCTCTGTCCTTCCCTCTCTGAAATCAATAAAATATGTCCTTTCCCCCGCCCCCCAAAGGTATCATCAATTAGAAGATAAAAGCTGGATAATGCTTGTAAAAATTAACATTTTTATTTAGAAGAGAGCAGGAAAATGCCTGTAAATTATCTAATCTGACTCCCTTATTTTATAAGGGAGGAATATGAGATAGTGAGACTTCTTGTATCTAACCTCTACATTGAATTCTCCACATTTTCCATAAACACTGTTTTATTTTTTTTAAATATATTTTTATTTATTTCAGAAAAGAAGGGAGAAGAAGAGAGAGATAGAAACACCCACAATGAGAATCATTGCTTGGCTCCCTCCTGCATGCCCCCCACTGGAGGCTGAGCCCACAACCTGGGCATATGTGCCCTTAACCAGAATTGAACCCAGGACTCTTTAGTCCACAGGTCAATGCTCCATAGACACCATTTTAAAATATACATTTGATCATGTCACTCTCCTTCTTGAAACTTTTCCATAATTTGTCATTGTTATGAAGTCAAATACAGATTACAGAGTCCTTTAATATTAGCCTCTGCCTAGCTTCCCAGTTTCACTTCTCCCTATCCCCATCACCATTCTAAGTCACATCCAATCACATGAAGTTCCTCATACACACCATTCCTCAGGCCGCCATGTCTTTGCACACATGGTTTCAGCTGCCTAGAAGGCTACTCCTTGCTCCCTACATTTGCTGCAGCTACTCACACCTCTTAAGACTGAACCCAGATATGACTTCAATAGAAAATTCTAACCTGTGTCCCTCCACTGACACTGTCAGAGTGTCAGCAATCAACTTTTTCCTGTCTCTATAATGTTATATTGCAATTTTTCTTTTTTTAAAAAAAATATATATTTTATTGGTTTTTTACAGAGAGGAAGAGAGAGGAACAGAGAGTTAGAAACATCGATGAGAGAGAATTATCGATCAGCTGCCTCTTGTACACCCCCTACCGGGGATGTGCCCGCAACCAAGGTACATGCCCTTGACCGGAATCGAACCTGGGACCTTTCAGTCCGCAGGTTGACGCTCTATCCACTAAGCCAAACCGGTTTCGGCTATATTGCAATTTTTCATTCTCAGCTAGTCTTTGAGATCCTTGAGGGCATCTCAATTTTGACTTCCTAGTATCCAAGCAAGGTCTGGCACCCAGGAGATATGCAATTAGTGCTGACCCACTGGATGAGCAAAGGAACTTGCCTCAAATTTCAAAATAAGCCAGTTAATCACAGAAATGGGTATTGAAATTAAAGACTATTTTGAAAACTTAATCAGATTTATGTTTTAGTCCTAAATAATTTGTACTATATCTTTAATAAGCTCATGTTAATCCACATATTTTAAAAGTCTTTTAATTTTTTAATATTCATCATCTAAAAATGGTCCAGACTAAATATTCTGATACCTGAATACAGTTGTATGAATGTTAAGTCAGAAAGAAAAGACCAAATGGCCACCAAATGACCTTCAAAGCAAGAAGCCACATGGCAGGTTGATAAGCCATCAACATTTTGAATAAAATTCCACCTCCATATATAATTAAAAGTACAAAAGGATATTTGAGAGAAAATATTCTGAAATAATTTTGTTCTGTACTTTCTTCTTTTAAGATTTTAAAATTGATTTTTAGAGAGAGAGAAATATTAATGTGAGAGGGCAACATCAATCAGCTGTCTCTTACACGCCCCTGTCAGGGGACTGAGCTCAAAAACCTGGGCATGTGCCCTGATTGGGAATCAAACCAGCAACTCTTCAGTACGTGGGACGATACCCAACCAACTGAGCCACACCAGCCAGGGCTTATTCTGCACTTTTAAGTATACTTTTTATTTTACAGTCCACAAATAACATTATGTACCAACTTACATGGAGGAGACACTAGAAGCTTCATCCCTGATGATCACTGGCTGCACTTTCTTTAAATTTAATTTATGCTGGTACATTTTCTCTAACTTTGCCATAGTTTCCATGTGGGCAATCTTCAGCTCTTCTAGTTTCCTGAAATATTCTTCATTAGAGTGGTAAATATCAGAAAAGTCCAGAGGGGCCTCATAGTTCATATATGTTAGGTTATTCACCCCGGAAATGATGTTAAAGTCAGTCTGCTGGGAGGAAAAAGCCTGTTATATGGTATTTGGAATTGAAAAACAAATAAATTTGACACTAATTCCCAATGCTGCTTCTTATTTGTGAGCTATGTACATTTCCCTCTCACAACATGTTATTAAGAACAAGAGAGCAAGACCAAGTTGCCCGAAAATAAATACTTTTTTATCTTTCTTATAAAGGATGGTTAGATTCCCAGATCATGTACTAACACATACACTATAATAGGATAGAACCAAACTATCCTTCATAAAGACCCTCCTTTGGAGTTGTGATAGCTGAGATGAAGAACCAAGTTCCTCTTACTGCAAACCAAGCAACTCCAGCCCAACACCTGGGGCTTGGCTCCTACAGTATGGGCCACAGTGTTGCGCCAGTGGAGGAGAGAGGGAAATGGGCAAAGGAGGGCAGGAGAGTGGAGGGAAGAGAGTTCTCATTGGCTCATCAAGAGCCCAGGAAGAAGCCCTGCTTGGTTTGCAGGGGAGACCTCATAGGAAGTGCGGGTGGGAGGTAGTTTCAGAACTGCCGCTCCTGGGGCCAACAAAGAGCAGTAGCTATCCTGAGTGACAGACTTTGGGAGTGAAAGAGAACAAGAATAGTACAGTATAGCATTGTAATTACACAGACTGTAGTTATTCTATATATATAGGTCATGCCTGGAAGAGTTTGATAGATCTTTCCCCTAACCCTTTTTTTTTTAATGTATTTTTTATTGATTTCAGAGAGGATGGGAGAGGGAGAGATAGAAACATCAATAATGAGAGAATCACTGATCCTGCACGCCCCCTACTGGGGATCAAGCCCACAACTCAGGCACATAACCTTGACTGGAATCGAACCTGAGACCCTTCAGTTCGCAGACCAATGCTCTATTCTCTGAGCCAAACCAGCTAGGGCTCCCCTAACTCTTTTCATATACATCTCATAGTTCTTTTAATTGAAGCAATTATAGAGGTAAAACTCCACTTTCTCCATAAATATAGAAATTTAATATTTTCTCAGTTGAGAAATAGTTATTTATGATTCTAAGCATAAAAGGCTGCTGACCATGGTCTTAAATTTAGTCTATTGCCTGAAATATATTCATAATGAAAAAAAAATATTTGCCTAAAATTACAGACCCAATCTGATAAGACACTAAAGAAATAAATCTGAGTAGCTTCTCCCAATGGGAAAATGCAGAAGAGTTACTTGTATATAAAAGTTATAAATATGAGTTTTTAAACAGTGTACAGGAGACCAGTATTGTACTACTTGGAGAAAAATGGCGGAAAACAAATGTTTATTAGTAAAGCTAGTGTGCAGAAATTTACCAACAAATCTATGACTCAAAGAACTGCTTTATTGTCATACAACTCAAGAGAATTTTCTGATATCTTCTCCTGTTTCTATATGAGCCTTCACCATTACCTTCTTGGGAAATGAGTACTTTATTAACTTCCTCATTCATTAAATTCTAAATGACACCCCCAGCATTCTCTAGCTGCTTAAAGACACAAATCAAATAAACACTTCACCTTCGAGAAGCTTCAGTGAGTGTACATGAATAATGGGCAGCAGATCTTGAAGAAGACAGAACTCCTGATTCCTGACTGTGAGCTGCTCCCATCTATGTCACAATATCAGTTACCATAAGAGCTCAGAGAAGTAATACCTAATTCAACCATGGAGGAAAGAAGAGGCAGAAGTTAAAGGGTGCACCAGACAGAGACAATGTTAGATGAGGACTAAGCTTGTCAGATTAGGGAAGCAGTGAGAAACAAAGAAGTCTGAGGCACAGTGCCAGAACATTAATCATCCGTTACTGCAAGATGATGTAACTGGCAGCTACTCTGTTCTTGATAAGGAAACTGAGGCTCAGAGGATTTAGGTGACTGCCTGCAACCACACACCAGTAAGTAGTAGAGCTGGGATTTAAATCCAAATCCCAAGTGTTAGGCTGCAAAGACACCCCATAGGAAGGGATTTTTAGCCACACGAGGAAGGGACAGGCATGGTATGCTCAGAGAGAGGTAAACTGTTTCTATATGAGCCTTCCTAATTCAACCATGGAGGAAAGAAGAGGCAGAAGTTAAAGGGTGCACCAGGGGCTAGTGAGAGCGGGATGGGGCACGGGGGAGGGTGGGGAACTAGGTGAAAAAAGGCAAGTCAAGAGCTTCAACCAGGCAGCAGCGGCCTTGAAGGATGTGAGCAGAGGAGTGCCCTGATCAGCAGTGCTCAGAAGGATTCTTCTGGTAGCCAAGAGTGAAAATGAAGAAAGAAAGATTAGCAGCAGTTAATGAGGTAACGCAAAGGCCTAAGTTAGAGATATTAAGGGCAGAATTAAGAAAGCAGCGCCACGGCAGCTGCCTTGGTAGATTTAGAAGGCTGAATCAGCAAGTCAGTAGTAATGGCCTGTGTTGTGGGCAACAATCAATAAAGGGAATTCTTTTTTTCTTTTTTTCTTTTTTTTAAATATATTTTATTGATTTTGTACAGAGAGGAAGGGAGAGAGAGAGAGAGTTAGAAACATCGATGAGAGAGAGTCATCGATCAGCTGCCTCTTGCACACCCCCTACTGGGGATATGCCCGCAACCAAGGTACATGCCCTTGACCGGTATTGAACCCGGGACCTTTCAGTCCCCAAGCCGACGCTCTATCCATTGAGCCAAACCGGTTTCAGCCAATAAAGGGAATTCTGAGGAAGAGAGTGTTTTAGGAAAAGAAACCTAATCTCTCTCTTAAGACACACTGAGTTTAAGGGATAGTAGGGCAGGTGAATGTCCAGGAAACAGGTGGGTAAGTTTATTTGGAGACTTGGTAAGGAGGCAGGGGTGGAAATCAAGATCTGGGAGCCACTAATATCACAGCAGTGGCAGGTGCAGCCTTACATACGAATGAGGCTGCCTGAGGAGAGTGTTGGCAGTAAGACAAAAACCCGAGGATGGAAATGTTGGCAACACCAACATTTAAATAAGCAGTGAGAGGAGAACTAATATGAAGTAGAAAGTGGTCATTAGAAATACAAATATCAAATGATAAGGGTATTCAAATGAAGAGAGCTTTTGTTTGGTTTGAGTTTGTAAAGTAACTCCAAAAGGATATTTTTTCATTGATTTTTTAGGGAGAGTGGAAAAGGGAGGGAAAAACAGAAATATGGATGTGAGAAAAACACATCAATTGGTTGCCTCCTGTACAAGCCCTGACCAGGGGCTGGCCTGGGAAGGAGCTGGCAACTGAGATACATGCCCTTGGCAGGAATTGAACCCGGACACTTCAGACAGGCTAATGCACTATCCACTGAGCCAAATCAGCTAGGGCTTAATTCATTTTCAAGACAATATCTGCCAAATGCCTAAGTCTGAGTAACCATAATTTGCCTGTCAGTCATTCTCTCAAATAAACAGTTTTCAATTTTTAAAAAAGCAACTAGGTTAGACTGCAACTCAAACAACTGCATAAGTGCTTTTCCTCTAGACCAGTGGTCAGCAAACTCATTAGTCAACAGAGCCAAATTATCAACAATACGATTGAAATTTCTTTTGAGAGCCAAATTTTTTAAACTTAAACTTCTAACACCACTTCTTCCAAATAGACTCGCCCAGGCCATGGTATTTTGTGGAAAAGCCACACTCAAGGGGCGAAAGAGTCTCATGTGGCTCGTTTGCCCACCATGGACCTAGGCCAAGGACCTTATTTTCCAAGAGCCTAAAATAGCACCTTTCCCTTTAATTGTTCGGCTTTTTGTGAACGTTGTGCATGCAGCCACTAGATTAGAGGATAATCTTCCCCAGATTGGCTTGACCCATTTAGATGATGCTCCTCCCAACACATGCACATGTGCTTCATTAGTGGCCAGCACTCATAATTATTTGTAGTATGGTCTATCTAGTATCATCTGCAATTCTGGAATTTTTATTAAACTTTTTTTTTTCATTGAAAGAATTTGTAAGGAATGAGGCAGATCTCATAGTAACCTGGGTAAACCACAAAATAAATGAGAAGAGTAAAAAGCAAGTTTCAGAACAATTTGTATACATAATATGCCACCAAATGCTTTAAGGAGACAGGAAGCAGGGAAAGGCCCAGAAGAAGACACATAATAAGTTTCAAAACAGTGGCCACCAATGGGTAGGGAGGAGGGACCCAGACTTTGTTTGGGAGGAGAGAGAAAAAGGGCCTAAGCCTTATTTGTAACATTTGAAATCTGAAAAAGGAGAATGTCCCCATGTATTACTTATCTAATTAAAATATAACTTTAGAAAATGCTTTGTGAGTGCTAATACTAAATTAAAAACTGAGCAATCTCTATTGGCTACTTGATCTGTCTGGCACCTGCCTCTCACACTCCCCTAGCAATGCTGCTTACCTTTCCCTTGCTCTTCTACCTGCTCCCACCCCCGCTCCCGAACGCATTTATTTCTTTAAGAAACCAGAAACTGTCAGAGGAAAGTTTCCTCATCTTCCCATGTATAAAACTGCCCCTTTTGTGCTACTTTTCTCTTTTCCTCCTTCTCCAGGATGAAATGTCCCTTCTCTTTAGCAATATTTGACACTTTCCCTCATCACTAAAACCAATAAACAGGGATTTCCACACTCTTCTGGTGATCCTACCACTGCAGCTGGTCTTAATCTCTTTTGTCCCCTTTTTATCTACCTAACTGTTAAATGAGGTTTTTAAACAGTTCTAGCCCGGCTCGTGTGACTCAGTGGTTGAGTGTCAACCTATGAACCAGGGGGTCATGGTTCGATTCCTGGTCAGGGCACACACTCAGGTTGTGGGGCTCCGTCCCTGGTAGGGAGCATGCAGGAGGCAGCGATCAGTGATTCTCTCATCATTGTTTCTGTGCCTCTCTCTCTTTCTCTCTGAAATAATAATAAAAAAGAGTTCTATACAAGGCCTCTTCCATTTCTGCACTCTCCCTAAGCGACTTTATCCATTCCCATTGTTTCACAAATGCTGAAAACTCCCAGATAGATCTCTCCAGCTCAGACCCTACAGAACAAGTTTCACAGGCTCAACTGCTTCCTACATATTTCTACTTGGTAGTTTCACAGATATCTCAAGTTACCATGTTCAATACTAAAACCGTGGAGAGGGGCAAAGAGGGAGAAATGGGGGAGGAGGATCTGTAATAGTATCAAGAATGAAACACACACACACACACACACACACACACACACACACACACACACTGAAAACCACCCAGCCTCTACATCCATTCCTCCCCAAGTTATCTCCAGTTCAGTGAATGGCACTATCTTCCATGCAGCTGCTCAAACCAGAAACCTGAGAGTAAGCATTCTTTATTTCTTCCTCTTTCTTGGTCTTCACTTTCATTCTTTAACAGTAATTTCTGTCTATTCTAGAAAAATCTGTTCACTTCTTGCCATCTTCCCTAGACTCTAGGTCCAGCCATCACCAATGGCTTCTGAATTACTGCACAGCCTCCTAACTGGTCCCTTCCTTCTACTTTGTCAGAAGTTGTCCAGAGTCATCAGAGTCATTTAAAAAAAAAAAAAGATGTAAATGGGAACATGTCAGATCTTGTCAATGTCTTCAAGGACCTCCCAATGTCACCTATAATAAACCCTCAACTCATTACCTAGGTCCTCATGGCCCTGAATGTTTAGGCCCTGCTTACCTCTCCAAGTTCATCTCCTCCCCTCACTCATTCCTCCCCTCTCTTTTCCAGTCTTGCTGGCTTTCTTTCAGATCCTTAATCACCCAAAGCTCCTCATTTTCCTATCTTAGGACCTCTGCATATGCTTGTTCCCTCTGCCTGGAATGTTTTTCCACACCCACTCTTCAAATGGTTACTCTTTCATCTATGAAGCATCCGCTTAAATGTTAACTAACTTAAATATGGCTTAGTGGTTGCTATGACCATAAAAGGTGTTGCTACAGATTTTCTCATTAACAGTTTTAGTGTAGATTAAAGAGATTACAATTCCAAAATATTCAGTGATTTCTATTAGCCCTAGGCCACAATGTTTTTTCTTTTTGTATCTGAGAGGCTTGGAAAAAAAATGGTATTAAGACTCTTTAAAGGGAGATAAGGAGGTTTATATCTGCGGAGTCAAGGTTTCTAACTTTTATTTATTTTTTAAAATATATTTTATTGATTTTTTACAGAGAGGAGGAGAGAGGGATAGAGAGTTAGAAACGTAGATGAGAGAGAAACATCGATCAGCTGCCTCTTGCACACCCCCTACTGGGGATGTGCCCAAAACCAATGTACATGCCCTTGACCGGAATCGAACCTGGGACCTTTCAGTCCGCAGACCGACGCTCTACCACTGAGCCAAACCGGTTTCGGCAAGGTTTCTAACTTTTAAATGAATAGAGCAGATGGCAGACTCGGCCCTCTACCCGGTGGACAGGTGTTCAGGACACATGTAACACTGAAAACTGCCCTTTAGTAAATAATGGGTCCTCAGTAACTTGTTTCTCTGGATGCTTAACTATAACTGATCTAGCCACTCATGTATCGTGCTAAGATGCACTAATAACCAAGACCTTAAGATGACAAAAAAACACACATCTGAGAGCACAGTTGATTCACCTGAATCTTAGGGGTTATCCTCTGTGGGGTAGGTAAATCAGTCTTCCCCAAACTAAAAAAAAAAAAAAAAAAGGGGGGGGGACTATCTACTTCTGACATACTGGAGCATAAAGAGTAAGGTTCTGTTCCTGCACTCTCTAGACTAAATAAAGTAAAATCTCTCTCCAAGAAATTCTTACAACAATCGCTTTGGTGAAAATGACGACTTTTTTTTTAAACGCCTGGGTTTGATTGTTTTTTATGGGAACACAGAGAAGGTGGCGGGTCAGTATTACCGACGATCTGGACAGGGGGCAGCGTTTGCCAGCCTGTCGCTCAGCCCAGCGGGGACGCGGGCCAGCGCCCAGCCAGCCAGCACCCCGTCCCGCCCCCACATTACCAACGCCCGCGCCCGGCGCACTGCCTTGTTAGCATCTTCCTGCTCCTCCTCCTCCTCTTCGTCCTCCAAGGCCCTCACCGCGGCCGCCAGGTCCTCTAAGGGGTCCGCGTCCCGGGCGGCCCGCGCTGGGGAGCTGGGATTTACCGGGGCTGGGACACCGGAGGCCGCCGGCTCCGCGCGCGGCGAGGCGGCCATCACCGCGCCGCCGAGGCCTGAGCGCCCGCGCCGGCCCGGGTGGCGACGCAGGCGGGGCTCCCTGCTTGTGGCGGGCGGTTACTAGGGGCACGGTAACTAGGGACGCTACAGGGGCCGTAAGGGGCCAAAAGGCACTCGAATCCTTGAACGCTGCGGGATACCCAAAGTGGGCGCTTCTTGTATTCTGGCAGTCAGTACTGAGCCTGGGGGGACCAAGGTCTCTCTTCCCCAGCTTCACGCCTCACCACCCAATTTCAGACAGCTCACATTATACTAATGAAACTACTCTTTTTGCGGGAAGAAGAAGAAGAAAAAAAGAGGGCATTTGTTACCTTTTTGATAGGTATTTTAATTGATTTCAGAGAAGGAAGAGGGCCAGAAACATCAATGATGAGAATGCACGCCCCACCCTGGGGATTGAGCCGGCCACCCGGGGTACATGCCCTCACCGGGAATCCCACCGTGACCTGCTAGTTCATAGGTGGAGGCTCCATCGTTGAGCCATGCTGGCAGGGCTCTGTGCTTCATTTTAAATAGTTTCTGAGGTCATGTCTTCAAAGTTGGTGTTCTTTTCTTGGACAATGATAATCTGATACTAATCCTATTCAGAGTACTTCTAAAAGATAATGAATTTTTCATTGATAGACATTTGAGTCTTTTATCTCCCATTTCTGTTATCATGTTCAAATTTTCTTTTACATCCTTGAACATATATGGAAGATTTATAAAAGCTGCATTTAAGTCTCTGATAATGCCATCATATGTCATTTGGTTGTGTTTTTTTTTCCTCCTGGTTGATTTTTCTCCATTTTGGGTCATAATTTTCTACTTCTTTGCATGATCAATTTGTTCTTATTAGTGGTAAAATACAAATAACATTTACCATTTTAATCATTTTTAAATATACAGTTCAGTGGTATTAAATACATTATCGTGGTTGTGCAACCATCACCACTATCCATCCCCAGAGTTTTTCATTTTGTAAAACTGAAACTCCATATCCATTAAATGATAAATTCCCATTTTCCCCTCCTCTCAGGCCTTGCAATCATTATTCAGCTTTCTGTCATGATTTTGACTACTCTAAGTATCTCATGTAAGTGTAATCATACAATATTTGTTTTTTATGTAATTAACTTATTTTGCTCAGCATAGTATTCTCAAGTTTCATCCATGTTTTAGTACACCAAACATTTCTTCCTTTTTAAGGCTGGATAATATTCCACTATATTTATCACATTTAAAAAATATATTTTTTTATTGATTTAAAAAAATATATTTTATTGATTTTTTACAGAGAGGAAGGGAGAGAGATAGATAGCTAGAAACATCGATGAGAGAGAAACATCAACCAGCTGCCTCTTGCACAACCCCTACTGGGGATGTGCCTGCAACCAAGGTACATGCCCTTGACCGGAATCGAACCTGGGACTTTTCAGTCCACAGACCGACGCTCTACCACTGAGCCAAACCGGTTTCGGCTATTTATCACATTTTGCTTATCCATTCATCCATCATTGAACACTTTGGTTGCTTCCATAGTTTAGCTATTGTGACTTATGCCTGCCACCATGAATATGGGTGTACAATATCTCTGAGACCGTTTTCAATTTTTTTTTTTTTTTTTGCTATATATCCAGAAGTGGAATTATTGGGTCATTTGGTAATTATATTCTTAATTATTTTAGGAATTGTTCAACAGCAGCTGTATCACTTTACATTCCTGACAGTACACAGGATTCCAGTTTCTTTACATTCTGGCCAACACTGTTTTATAGTAGCCATCCTCTTGGGTGTGAGGTGCTCTCATTTGTATTTCCCTAATATGTAGTAATATCAAGCATCTCTTCATGTGCTTATTAGCCATTTGTATATCTTTGGAGAAATGTCTATACAAACATTATGTCCATTTTTTAATTGGTGCCAGAGACCACAGCAGAGCAGCATTACCATGAAAGTGCAAGGGAGACACTGGAAGACCCAATGGACCTTGATCTGATTTCCTGACCTGATAATCTTTACATTGTTTACTAAACTTTACTGAGCTTTCTTTTCTCTTTTTAAAAAAATATGCTTTATTGTTTTTTTACAGAGAGGAAGGGAGAGGGATAGAGAGTTAGAAACATCGATCAGCTGCCTCCTGCATACCCCCTACTGAGGATGTGCCTGCAACCAAGGTACATGCCCTTGACTGGAATAGAACCTGGGACCCTTGAGTCCACAGGTCGATGCTCTATCCACTGAGCCAAACCGGTTTCGGCTGAGCTTTGATTCTATCTGCTCTGCCTACATGCATTGCTAAAGGGCAAATGTGTAACCAAACTGAATAAAACAGGCAGGACCTGGAGTTGTGGATTCCTCTTCTTGCAAGAGGCTCCACTTGGCCTTCCATGCCTTAAAATTTATTTCTTGTTTAGTATCGTTATTGTGTGTCAGTCCTCCTACAGGTCATCCTGAAACCCACCATGCAGATTGTGGCAAATTGGATAGAGTTTTGTTTGTTTTTTTAAGTTTTGGGAGTTCTTTATATATTCTGGATTTTAATCCCTTATCACATATGGGATTTGAAAATATTTTCTCCCTTTCTGAGGTACTCAGAAATTTTGAGGCACAAAAATTTCATGAAGTTAAATTTGTCTTTTCCCTTTTGTTAACTATCCCTTTAGTGACATATCCAAGAAATCACTGCTAAATCCAATGTCATGAAGCTTTCATTCTGCTGTCTTCTAAGAGTTTTGTTTTAGGTCTTACATGTAGGTCTTTATCCACTTTTATTTTGTCATACAGTGTTAAGCTAAAGATTCACCCTTCTTTTGCATGTGGATATCCAGTTTTTGCAGCATCATTTGTTGAAGACTGACCTTTCCCTACTGAATGGTCCTGATTCAGCTGCCAAAAATTATTTGAACAGGCTTGGCTCACTGGTTAGACCATCGGCCAGCGGCACTGAAGGATTTCAGGATTCCTGGTGAAGGGCATGTATCTAGGTTGCGGTTTGCTTCCACCTCCCTTTCTCATCCCAAGGATGAGTGCAGGAAGCAACCAGTGGATGTCTCTCATCCCTCCCACTCTCACTGAAAAGCAGTGGGAAAATACCCTCGAGGATTCACAACACACACACAGAGACATACACACATAAACACCCCATCATTTGACCTTATGTAGGAGAGTTTATTTCTGGACTCCTACTCCAGGAGTGAGGAATGTTTAGCCCCCAAGCCATATAAGGCACACAAAATCATTTGGACGGGCACTGGCAGGGGATTAGAGATGAATGAATATAGCAAGCTAATTTTTAAGTTGATAATTTTGTGTGGCCTGGGAATGATGTTATAACTATCCAAATGATACTTGGCAGAAAAAAAGTTTCTAGTCCATTGATCTAAATGTCTTTATGCCAGTACCAGTTTTGATTACTGTAGCTTTGTAGTAAGTTTTGAAAAAAGGAAGTGTGAATCCTCCAGTTACTTTTTCAAGGTTGTTTTGGATGTCAGTTCCCTTGAGATTCTATAATTTTTAGGATGGGTTTTCTATTTTTGTAAAAAAATGTTATTGGGATTTTGATAGGAATTGCTTTTAATCTGTAGATGCTTTGGATAGTTTTCTCTTCATCTGCTCTTTCCCTCTTTTTCTGGCAAAGCTCATTTGAACATCTAATCATTGAACCCTTTTTTAATACATACAAGAGCTGGTAGAAAACACCTTACTTCCTTTCAGTTTTTCTTTGCTTTTAATCTCACACTTTTGTTTTTCTGGTCTATGCTTTTAATTTTGTTACATAGTGTCTCCCATAGTGAAATGGGAATCAATTCCAGATGTGCAAAAAAAATCCATTATTCAAGAAATCTTTTACATTCAGCAAGTGTATTTTAAACACCTATTAAATACCAGACATTATTCTTTGTCCTAGTCTGTGGTCAGCAAACTGCGGCTCTTGAGCCACATGTGGCTCTTTGGCCCCTTGAGTGTAACTCTTCCACAAAATACCACGGCCTGGGCGAGTCTATTTTGAAGAAGTGGTGTTAGAAGTTTAAAAAAATTGGCTCTCAAAAGAAATTTCAATCGTTGTACTGTTGGTATTTAGTTCTGTTGACTAATGAGTTTGCCAACCACTGTCCTAGGTCATTAGTGGAACAAAGAAGCTAATACTTTTGCCTTCAATATATAGCTTATGTTCTACTGGAGGGAGACAGACAAGAAACAAACACTGAGAAAGCACCATGAAGAAAAATAAAAGCAGAGAGGCATACAAGTGCCTGGGGCCTGGGCTGGTGTAGCTGTGGGCTGAGCAATGCCCCGTGCACTGGAAGATTGCCAGTTCAAGTTCCAGTCAGGGCACATACCCAGGTTATGGGTTTGATCCCTGGTCAGGGTGCATATGGGAGACAACCAATGTTTCTCACTCTTCCTCTAAAATCAATAAACACGTTTTTAAAAAGTGCCTGGGGGTTGGGGTAGGATTGCAGTTTAAAATAGGGTGGTCAGGAAGGATCTGGCTGAGAAGGGAACTGAGCAGGGAGTTTATGGGGAGGTAAACGATGAGCTGAGCTCTTATCTGGGTTTCAGGTGAAGGGCACAGCATGAGCGAAATCCCTACAAAAGGAGTGTGCTGGGATATAAGGAGGCAGATGCGAGAGGGGTAGAGAGCAAGGAGAGCTGAAGCAGAGATGAGGGGACGGGACAGATCTAGGATGTGCCCACTGATGAGAACTTGGCTTTTATTCCAGTCAACCGAGCTGTAGGTCTGATAGTATTGAGATTTTAAAGGAATGTTTTCAATATATTTTTTATCTCAGAGAGGGAGAGAAACATCAATGATGAGAATCATTCATTGGCTGCCTCCTACATGCCCTCCTGGGGTTCAAGCCCATAATGTGCCCTGACTGGGAATAGAACCAGGATCTCGTGGTTCATAGGTTGATGCTCAACTACTGAAACACTGGCTGGGCAAGTAGAGAAATATTTGGACTTAAAAGATTTCAGGCCGAAACCGGTTTGGCTCAGTGGATAGAGTGTCGGTATGTGGACTCAAGGGTCCCAGGTTCGATTCCGGTCAAGGGTATGTACATTGGTTGCAGGCACATCCCTGGTGGGGGTGTGTGTGTGTGTGTGCAGGAGGCAACTGGTCCATGTCTCTCTCTCATCGATGTTTCTCTCTATCCCTCTCCCTTCCTCTCTGTGAAAAATTAATAAAATATATATATATTTTTAAACTTAAATTTTTTTTAAATCAATATTGTTCATATTATTGTATTACAAAGGTTCCTCATTTCTTCCCCCCTCCACCAGGTTCCCACCCCACCCTCAGCCCCCTCCCCATCCCCCATTGTCCTCATCCATAGGTGCACAGTTTATGTTTAGTCTCTTCCTCCCTCCACCACTCCCCCTTTCCCAGAGAACAGTCAGTCCACTCCCCTCCCATATCGACGACTCTACTACAATGAACAGCTATTATTGTTCATCAGGTTTTTCAATCTCCTTTTTTTCTTTTTGTTGTTGTTGTTTTTTTTAATTAATAAACTTTTACACTTCTAAGAATAAATTTTAAAATCTAATAATTTTAAACCTTTTTTTCTGTCCTGGGAATTGGGAAGCAAACTTGTTTACATGTAAACTTGCCCTTAGGCTATCAAAAGGTGTAGCCATTCAAGTGTAAATGGACACATTGTTTAAAGATAGCTGCTGGTTGGAATTGGATTATGGGTGGGAAAGGCTTGTCATTCTTTTTCTCCATTAAAATTAAGGTGTTAGCTTTAAAACCTCTTTTTGGCAAGAGACCTTAAACTTTCAGAACTTTAAATTTTTCAGATAATAAATCAGTTACTTAGCATTTTCTCAAATCAATAATGGCACTCACAGATCAACACCCCAGCGCTATACTAACTCAACACATCCAGATCTAAGCCTTCATCACTTGATTCAGCAGACCCTCAAGTTCCCCCCAAAATTTCCAGCCATGTCTGAGAGGCAGCCTTGAGGCGGGAGCAGGCAAGGAGCGAGCTGGCCTGGCAGCTGCTGCTCCGGACCTGGCTGCTCCCGACAGGGCTGCTCTGGGCCCAGCTGCTTCAGGCCTGGCAGCTCCTGACCTGGCTGCTCTGGGCTTAGCTGCTGCTGCTCCGGGTATATTTTTAAAAATCAATAAAATATACTTTTAAAGATTTCAGGATATATCTCATTTAATTGTTTGATGGCAGCAAGAAAAAGCTTGTTTTACTATGAACTATTAGCCATTAAAACTGAATTACTAAATTTTAGAAAACCCTGAAACAGATCTAAATAGATAAAGACATCATTTAACAAATTATTTTAGTTAACTAATTTAGTTATCAGATACAAAGGAAGCTTCAGGCTGATTGTAATTTTCCACAAATGCGAAGATGTCCTAGTTGTTTTTATAACACTCCTTGTGAAATACAAAAGAAATTGTGTAGCCCAATTTGTGGTCTACTTCAAAGGCCTGGCCATTATCCAAAGTCAATAGAAACCATGAAAGCTTCCTAATGGGGAGTGCCTGACAAGTTTTTTTAAAAAATATATTTTATTGATTTTTAACAGAGAGAAAGGGAGAGAGAGAGCTAGAAACGTCGATGAGAGAGAAACATCGACCAGCTGCCTCTTGCACACCCCCTACCGGGGATGTGCCCGCAACCAAGGTACATGCCCTTGATCGGAATCGAACCTGGGACCTTTCAGTCCGCAGACCGACGCTCTACCACTGAGCCAAACCGGCTTTGGCAGTTTTTTTTTTTTTTTTTTTAAATGACCAACTATACTGTGTGCAGAAAGAGGCTAAAGTGAGAGCAGAGATTATTTTGATTTTACATTATTCATGGTGAGAGATGATGCTTGATCAAGGTGCAATTAAGATGTTTAAAGCCACTAAAACAAGACATCAATTAAGAGTCCCCTTTATTTATGTCAATTCAATTCAGATTCCCTTTATTTATGTCAATTCTCAGTATGGACTCTTCATTTATACCAAGAGTGCTCTTTACCTGGTATAGGGCAGAGACTTATGACCTTTACCAAGGGTTTTTAAGGAGAGCTCTTCCTCTGTGATTCTTTATCACTTTCAGCTCAAAATAATCCTAAATTGTATATTGTAGGGTGACATATTCTATTATCCTTCAGCCATTAAACAGTTTGTCCTTATATCACCAATTTTCCCAAATAAAGAGCATTTAAAAAAAAATTCTTTTTGGCACAGCTGGCATAGGTCAGTGACTGAAAGATAACCTATGAACCAGGTCATGGTTCAATCCCCAGTGAGGGCTCATGCCCAGGTTGTGAGCTGATCCCCAGTGTGGGAAGTGCAGGAGGCAGCTGATCAATGATTTTCATCATTGATGTTTCTCTCTCCCTTCCTCTCTGAAATCAATAAAAAATATATTAAAATAAATAAGAAGAATTACTGCCATTGTGACATGGATAAATCTTGAGATTTTGCTAAGTGAAGTCAGTTGGTCAGAAAAAGCTAGCAACCATATGATTTCAATCATATGGGAGATATAAAACAAACTCAAAGACAGACAATAGTATTGGTTGTTACCAGAGGGAAGGAGTGGGAGGGCAGTAAAGGAGAAAAAGGGTCAAATACATGTGATGGGAGATTATGATTTTGAGTGGTAGGTATAGAATGCAATATATAGATCATTAACATACAATTATACACTTGAAACCTGTATAATCCTATTAACCTTTTCAAATGTAGTTTTCCATTAGTCTAGTTAAGAATGATACTCTTAGTCACCCCAATAAATTTAGTTATCATGTTAAGTGCCATGTCAGTCACTGGTGACTGACACTATACTTTCTGTTTGGACCCGTCAGTCACTGGTGCCGCCAGCATATTGGTGAAATTGGATATTGCGGGTTAAACGGAAAGGAAGAAAAAACAGGCTTGGCACTCAACATGTTAAAAATGAAATATCCTTTATAATAAAACCCTAATATGCAAATCGACCGGCAAAATGACCTGCCTTTATGACGTACACTAACCACCAGGGGCAGGCGCTCAACACAGGAGCTGTCCCCTGGTGGTCAGTGTGCTCCCCCAGAGGGAGCAGTGCTCAGCCAGAAGAGGGCAGTGGTGGTGGTGAGAGCTTCCCATCTCCAAGGCAGGCAGACATTCCTCGAGGGGTCCCAGACTGCCAAAGGGTGCAGGCCAGGCTGAGGGACCCTGCCCAGTGCACAAATGTCATGCACTGAACCTCTAGTTTTTGTATAAATATTTGCTACTTAATGTGTACAAGGAATCTCAATGAACAAAACAGTGCTTATTCTTGAAGAAAGGGATTAGGATTATAGGGTAGAGAAAGCCTTTTATTTTTCACTTGTATCTTTCTGTACTGTTAATTTTTCAAACAGTATTATTTCTTTGTGAATCCACTGCCCCTTTTGTTCCATAGGTTTTTCAAGTTTCTGAAATAACAATATTGGAGGGGGGGAGGGTGCAGCAACAATAAATTAATTTACCTTTTGAAACCAAATCTTTAATATTTTCATTAAACTGTGTCAATACAATGTCAAGTAAATGCAAACCAGGAATTCACAGGGGAAACAATATTCCAAACAAGAAACACCAGTGATCTTCCACTCCAGCTGCACTATTAGTGGCCATGATGGTGCCAGTCAGCCAGTGTTATCCAGATTACCGAGTGTTTACCTGGCAAAAGAAAAACTTGAGTTTCAAAACCCGTAATAATAGAATTTTAAGGATGGAAAACATTTAAGCAGTTATCCAAATCCCCCCTATTTATTACAAGTGAGAAAAGAATGCAAGAGTATGAACTGTTATCACTTTGACGACTAGCAAACTATTAGTTACAAATTTCCCCAAAAATCTCTTAAAACATAAACCTTTGACCTTGTAGGAAAATTCCCACCCTATACATACCACATCATCAATTTTCAGGATGCTCCGGACAGTTTCAGTCGCTAGAGTCAGTGCACTAACTGAAACCAACAAAGGCTGGACAACCAGTTCCTCCAAAATGTTGGAAATACCACCCTGCAAATTAAATTAGCACAAGTTGCTTTTAGTGTTTGTAAGTATGCACATCACCAGCTATAGTTATCAGTATGAATCAAGACCTTCTCAAATGTAGTTTTCCCTTACTCTAGTTAAGAAGAACACACTAAGTAAGGTCTTTTCTACACTATAAGTTGTATTTCAACTAAAATTTGGAAAAAATTAATGCTGGATCCCCCAAATCCTAACTTCAAAACTCCTCCTATGGCCCTAGCTAGTTTAGCTCAGTATGTACCGTGTTAGCTTACAGACTAAAGGGGTCCTGGGTTCGATTCCAATAAAGGACACATGCCTGGGTTGCAGGCTCGATCCCCAGTAGTGGGCGTACAGCAATTACAATGCAGCCAATCAATGATCTCTCATCATTGATGTTTCTATCTCTCCCTTTCTCTCTGAAATCGTTAAGATATCCTATATGGTAAAAGGCTAATATGCAAATACACCAAAACAACCAGTCGGTATGATGTGTGCTGACCACCAGGGGGCATGTGTGGAACATGGTGGGCATTGGCTGTGGCAGGATGCTGGAAGAGTTGAGTGGGGGCACCAAACCAAGACAGGGCGCGGATCACTGCCTTCAGGGCCAGACTCTGGTGGTTACTGAAAATTCTTTGTTCCTGCAGCTGCAATCCTGCCTGGCACTGTGCCTGCTGCTGGCGCTGACCTCTCTCCCACCTGCTGCCAACGCCGGAGCTGCTGCTTACATCTGCTGCCAGGCCCAATCACTCAGCACTGTCAGTGGATGTGAACAGCAGGTGCTGGCCCTGATTGCCCTTGATGACTTCTCCACAACCCCTGCTCCTGAGGGGCGATCAGGGCAGCAGCCGCCACTGCTGGCACCGGCCCCAATCACTCCATGCTGACAGTGGTGTGAGTGGGGCTGGCACCATCAGCACATGGATCAGCGGCAGGAGTGGGGCCACAGGCAGACAGAGAACTGGGGTCCATGGTGGGAGGGGCTGGGCAGGGATGCAGAGGATAGACCGAGACCTGCCCCTGTGCCTACAGCAGCCTCCTGGCCCCGTTCCTTTCAAGGTGCATAAATTCGTGCACTGGGCCCCTAGTATATATATATAAAAACCTTCCTCCTATGTATCTGCTCTACCTTTACATCTCTCTCAAATCTCACTTATAAATTCTTATTACCACTATCACAGTCCCATTCTCCTAAGGATTACTGCTGATGGCCATCACAAGCAACCCTATCTCCTGTGTTCCCTCTTTAAAATCTCATTTCATCATCTTAGCCTATTGGTTAACAAAACATTAATAGCTTCCAACTACTGGAGTAAAAACAAAACCAAACCATACCTCATGTTAGCTTTTATCTCATCTTTCCAAGCTTAAAGTCCAGTGTATTACCAACATATAACTTCCACTCTAAACAAAATTAGAAACTTCTCAGGCTCTCTTACCTGTAAACCTTTTGCTCCCCCTTCTGAAATTTCATCATACCCTACAAATGAAAGCTATATCTTCATAATATAACCTCCTTAGGAATTCTCTTCTATTAAAAAAAGTAACCTTGGATTGTTAGCCTCCCCCCCCCCAAGTATTATTTGTCTCTTCAATAAAAAGGGGAAATTATTACTGTTCTCTGTATTTACCCTAGTGACTGATTTCATTAGGCTGGTGGTCACAACAGCAGCAATGGTAAATACTTGGTGTTTCCTCTATGCCAGGCATACAAAGGACCTATTAGTCTCTGTTTTTACAATTGAGAAAACTGAAGCAGACTATGGAATATGCCAAAAATCAGCCAATAAATTGGCAGAGCTAATGAACTGATAATACTTTTCACTTAAGGCATAATTCATCTTCATTCTCACTCATTAACATAAATTATCCATCAAGCCTAATATTTAAATCCTATTTTACTTTTAATTACAAAGCTTTTCAATAAACAGGTAATTACAAAGCTTTAAAAATGTCATATTAATTGCCCTGGCCACTTTGGCTCAGTGGATAGAGTGTCGGCCTGCAAACTGAAGGTCCCTGGTTCGATTCCAGCCAAGGGCACATTGCCCGGGTTGTGGTCTTGATCCCCAGTGGGGGGCGTGCAGGAGGCAGCCAGTTGGTGGTTCTCTCTCATCATTGATGTTTTTCTCTCTCTCCCTTTTCCTTCCTCTTTGATGTCAATAAATATATATTTTTAAAAAGTTATATTAATATTTTATGCAATAATTAAAGGTTAAATTATTACCTTTCGGACATTAATGCCGGTAGTTTTTTCTCCATGGGCATGCCGGTTTCTTAGTTCTGTTACTGTAGAGATGGGATTCAGGCCAGCATTTTCAGCAAGTGTAGATGGAATTACTTCCATAGCATCTGCAAAAGCACGAACGCAGTAGGATTCCATGCCACTCAATGTTCGTGAATATTCAGTTAATCGTAGAGCCAACTCTATTTCTGGAGCACCACCTCCTGCAATAAGAGCTCTGAAATTCACAAACATATTTTTAGCTTATTTTATCTAAGAGAAAGATATTTTAAATAATTTACCATTTACACCTTTAAAATAGTCAAAATACAGAAGTTTTAATGTTCTAAATGTTACTTAGCAATTCATATTACCTATTCTTCACTAAACAGCGGATGACACATAGGGCATCATGAATGGAGCGCTCAGCTTCTTCAATAACCAATTTGTTAGATCCACGAACAACAATTGTAACTGTTTTTCCAGGGCTTGAACAGCCTGTAACCTTCAGTAAATATATTCCAAATTAGGTATCTGGGATAAAGATTAAAATAAATAAAAAAAACTCCAGGCAAATAAAGCTTAATTATAATACTGTTACCTTGATCAACTTGCCAGAACCATTTAAATTGACCTCCTCAGCTAACTCAGCTGATCCCAGCATGTCAGCAGTGAACTGGTCAATATGAGCAACTGGCTTGGTTCCAATCGTCTGGGAAAAATGATGAAATCCTCAAATTAAAACATGTGATTATTGGACATTTTTACACACACATATATTAGAATATTTTACCTTGCAAATGAATTCAATATCTTCTCTTTCAATATCCTTAACCACCATAATCTTCATTTTGTTTAGGAAATGTAATGCAAGATCACTTAGAGCATCTCTACAATAAAAAAATCAGTCATTATGTCAATGCTAGGTTAAAGATATTTGCTGTCCCACCATTTTTTAAGGTTTTCATTCTTTTACTGTTGTTTAAATAAACAATGTGTGGTGATTTCCAATGGATATTAAAATGTACCCCAATGACACTGTTGGAAAACACACAAGATAACTATGTCATTGTTTTTAAAAAATACTACGTAAGTGTATCTCTGATAATTAAAACTTTGATACTTTCTGATTTAGAAGAACGATTAGTGCATTGTCCTGATACACTAAGGTTTCCATCACATAAAAGAAGCAACCAATGAATGCATAAATAAGTGGAACAATAAATAGAAGTTTCTCTCTCTAAAATCAATGTTAAAAACTTAACATCTAGGATATTGGCTAGAAAGATTATACATCCCACATTTAAATTATTACAATGGGAAAAGAACCTATTTTAGAGTATTCATCAGAATGTCCAAAAATGCAAATTCATTAGCTGTCTAGTGGTTTATCTACCTCAAATGGTTCTGTAAAAATTGCTAGAGGGTATCCAAAATCAATTATTATTAAGAAGTAAACATAACAGCTGCATACCTTAGAATAGATTTTTGTATGAGAAGAACATTACATCCTGTTTTTTTAATTTGCTTCACTAAGTTTAGAATATAGGCTCTCTCCTCTCGGAGCACTCGGTCCATCTGGACATAGTCAGAAACTACTATCTGATTATCCATCTGTTTAGAAAAGAAACAACATATTAAAAATTCACATATATGAGTTTTAAAGTGAAAAATTTTCTTAATGAAAATATTATTATAGTATAAATTCAAGCAAAATCATACCAAATATTATATATAAACATGCATAGAAAAAGTCTGGAAAATCCAGGTGGCATGGCTCAGTGGTTGAGCTTTGAGCTATGAATTAGGAGGTCACAGTTCCACTCCCCATGGTCAGGGCACAAGCCCAAGTTGTGTGCAGGAGGCAGCCAATCAATGAGCGAATCTTTCTCATCACTGATGTTTCTCTCTCTCTCTCTCTCTCTCTCTCTCTCTCTCTCTCTCTCTCTCTCTCTCTCCCTCCCTCCCTCCCTCTCTCCCTCCCTCCCTGAAATTAAAAAAAAAAAAAAAAAATTGGTGATATATATACATATATATTAGAAAAAAAGAAAAGGTCTGGAAAGATGAATGTACATCAACCTTATTGCAGAGATTTTTTTATGCTGTCATATGTGTCTATATACATACAAGTACAGTTTAATAAAATGTAAAATGACTGTTATTTCCTGAATATGCCAATTATCTTTATACAAATATTTTACTGAAATAATTTCACTTGCATCCTTGTTACTTTGTCATGTTCTGGCATCCAACAATTTCTGCTTTTATTTCAATTTTATTAATTCTTTTGAGACAAATACTTATCATTAGTATCAGTATTTTCTATTTTTATGACAATAAAAATAAAGTTATTAGAAAGTTAAACATATATATAAATCAATTTTATTTGGTTCTACTTACGTCTGTTTTGGGAGCAGATAAGCAAAACTGAATAAGCCCAATTTTAGCCTTTTCGACTCTGGTTATACCAGAATTTGCCACCTTCTGAGTGAGAACCAGCCCTTCCACCAACTCACAATCATCAATTGTCCCACTAAGAAAAAAGGAAGGGAATAGTTAACAAGGAGCAGAAATCTGTAAGTTTAGATTTGTAACAGATTAAAAATCATCAATCCAATAAAATGTGCATCAGCCTCACTCACATTTATTAGGGTCCCAATCCTGAACCTCTTTGATCACACTACCCCGCCATGATAAGGAAATGCAAACAAATTCTTGAGATTCTCAGATTAATAATAATACAAATTCTCATGAAAATACAAAAAAAGCTTTGTGACTTTCACCTATTTTTCATTTAAAAGTTATTTATTTTTTGAAATAACTTAAGCTTATTTTCAAAATTAATTTTTATTCATTAGTTATAAATAGGTCTGCTTACCCAAGTTTCTTAACTATTTTGATATCTCTAAGATCTACACTTGTAGCTGTGGCTGGGTCAATCACTTTCATAACTGCATCTACACTCATAGGAGAAAGAAGACTTGAATACTGAGAGACAACCTAGAATTAAAAAAAAAAAAAAAAAAAAGTCAGTTTCACAACAGAAAAAATTCTAGTTCTTTACTGACATAGCACTTTTTTTTTGGATGGTGGGAGAGAGAAAGCGAGAATATATGAGAAAACATTCCATACAAACTGTCTTTTCAATTCAGATTGTCAGTCACCAAGAGCATGAAATAAAAATCTATAGGAAATCCAAAACAAAGTTAAACTAGCTATCTGTGTGCCCCTCCTCCCCAGTACATGCCTGGGTAAGTTGGTTATTTTCTGCCTTTATTTTTTTTTTAATGTGGAAGAAGTTTCTTATTTAAAATGAATTTATGTATATGTGTACCTCTAATACTGAGGGTGCTGGTAAAAATAGCTAGTGGCTAACATTTATTGAGCACTATATGCCAGTGGTCTTAGTACTTTACATTTCTATAATCATTCAATCTTCAAATGTCAATTTAACATTAGAAGAAAATGAACATATCAATATAATGCTGATGAAAAAAAACAAATGTGACACTGAACATGACAGAAAAGAGGTGACATAATTTCCCAAGAAATTTAAAAAAACATCATTGCTTTAAATTTGATAACTAAAAAAAGCAGCACAGACATTAGTTAAGAGATGGACTATGGATCTTTGTCCTGGTTCAAATTTCAGTTCTATCCCTTATTGTGGGTCTTGGATGAGTTATTTAACTTCACTAGACCTATTTTCCATCTGTAAAATCGGGATACAAATTATCTGACAATCTTGGAGTAAACTTTACTTGAATTCAGTTATACAAATTACTATGTCTTGCCTCTGTTAATTCACATTGAGACTTAACACATATGAACTGTATAGCAACAAACAAAAATCAAAGCACAGGAGTTGTGGTTTTTAACAAAACCGTACGTTGTAATTTTACAAGGATCCCTTAGCGTTCATCTCACCTTTGAGTTCAATGAAGTGGCTGCACTATTTAACAAAGTTTCTCTGTCACTCAGTTCCACAGGTCGAGACATGTCAACCAATACTTCAATACCTTTTACCAAAGCTTTCTGGAATGACTCCGAAATGATAGTTGGATGAATTCCTGTCATTTGTGAAAATCCAGTTAATTATATAACAAATAAGCTACATATTTGACACACTTAACAATTTTCTATTCGTTAAAATTTCAAAACAACCATGTTTTAAATTACCTATAGATTAGCTTATACTTCAGTTACTATAACGGTTTGCATAACTTTAACTGTTAACTATGGGCAATAATTTATTTCCATTTAATTTGGAATAGTTCAATTACACACATATGTGATATCTAAAAGGAAAACCAAAGTTAATATTTTTAAAAACAGCATAAATCTACATAAATAGGATAAATGACTGGAGAGTCACCACTATGATTAAGCACTTACTAGAACAAGAACCCATACTTTCTCTCCCAAATCACATCTAGAGCCTAAGGTTAGTAACAGCACTACCACTTATTTTTGAAAAGCAAAATTCTATAAAGTTCCACAACAAAGAAGTTTGGATAGATTTGTTCGGTGTGCCCCATTGGTTACACATAAGGGTGGCAGGTTCAATTCCCAGTTTTTGTGCTTGCGGGAGGCAACCGACTGAGGTTTCTCTCTCCAAAAATCACTTAAAAAAAGAAGCTTGGCTAAAGAGGATATAGAGGGAATAAAAAGTGATGGAAACAGACTTGACTTGGGGGTGTTGCACACACAATACAATGTACAGATGATGTATTACAGAATTGTACACTGAAACCCATATACTTTTTTTGAAACCCATATACTTTATTAACCAATGTTCACCCAATAAATTCAATAATAATTAAAAAGTTTGGCAAAAAAAAGAAGCAAAAAGAAAAACATTTCTACTTCACATAAACCTAGCATAATTTAATCTTAAAAATCTTAGTAAAGGTTATTCCAAATTAAAACTTAAATCAGACATTACTTAACTTGAATAAAAGTATGTTTATGTTCTACCTACCTTTCTGAAGAAGCTTGGTACAGGAATCTAAGAGAGAGCCAGCAATAATGACCACCGATGTAGTGCCATCGCCTGCTTCTATATCTTGTGCCTTAGACAACTCTACCAACTAAGTGAATAGAACATTTAAGTTGTTCAATAAGAAATGTGAGAACCTAGTAACATCTAATTCTAATATAAAAAAATAGAAATGGCTTTCACATCAGTGTCACAATTTGATTATCAATACTATAAAATTCTATTTTATTCATGACTTTGGATTTGTTGTCTACCATGGTCTTCATTATAAAATGATAATCCCTCCTACCCCCCCCCCAAAAAAAGAAAATAACCCACATATTTATAGTATACAAAATTTTACTTATATGTATAGAAAATACATTATGATTTCTAGTTCAGACAGTGGATTGTAAATATTTACTTCCCAGCTACTTAAAAGTTCCTGTCAGACAGCATAATGTTATACCACAGGTACCTTATAGTCTTGGAAGCTATGATATGGGGAATTTCAGATGAGGTTACAGTGTCATTTTGGAGTCCTTTGCCAAGTGTATCTGAACTGACCCCTCTATGAGCATAATTTGATTCACTTAAAAAGTCATCGTTAGCCCTGACTGGTTTGACTCAGTTGATAGAGCATTGGCCTGTGGACTGAAGGGTTCCAGGTTCCATTCCAATCAAGAGCATGTTCCTTGGTTGCAGGCACATCCACAGCAGATGTGCTGATGGGTGTTTCTCTCTCATCTGATATTTCTAACTCTCTATCACTCTCTTCTTCTCTATAAAAAAAATCAATAAGCTCGCTGAGACTAGTTTGGCTCAGTGGATAGAGCATCAGCCTGTGGACTGAAAGGTCCCGGGTTCGATACCGGTCAAGGGCATGTACCTTGGTTGCAGGAACATCCCCAGTAGGGGGTGTGCAAGAGGCAGCCGATTGATGTCTCTCTCTCATCGATGTTTCTAGCTCTCTATCCCTCTCCCTTCCTCTCTGTAAAAAAAATCAATGAAATATATATATTTAAAAAAAAAAGAAAAAGGAAAAAAAAGAAAAGAAAAATATCCTTGGGTAAGGATTCAAACACACACACAAAAATAATAAAATTTTTAAAATTCACAATGCTGCCCTAACTGGTTTGGCTCAGGGGATAGAGCGTTGGCCTGCGAACTCAAGGGTCCCAGGTTCGATTCCAGTCAAGGGCATGTACCTTGGTTGCCGGAACATCCCCAGTAGGAAGTGTGTTAGGAGGCAGCTGATTGATGTTTCTCTCTCATCGATGTTTCTAACTCTCTATCCCTCTGCCTCCCTTTCTGTAAAAAAATCAATAAAATATATATTTTTAAATTCACAATGCTTAAATTATATCATGTGATCAAATAAAACAAATTTAACCATTTACCAAATATCAAACCATACACTTAAAAAAAACCTCATCTAAAATTATACTTACCATTCTGGCTGCTGGATGTAACACTTGCATTTGTTTCAGAATGGTGGCACCATCATTTGTAATGGTCACATCGCCTTTTCCATCTTGAATCTGAAAAGTTTTCATTATTTTTTTTAAAAGCTGTGATTTCAAGTTATTTTACTTATCATAATTTATCAGTATTAATATGACAACCTAAAAGCTCTATTAATTTGGTAAATTAATTTATGTTTACATAGCTTACAACTGTGCTTAATTTCAAACTGTACACTAATATAAATCATTGTACTAAAAGTATGCATACCAGTCTAACTTTACAAGTAAAACAGCTGGCTTTGTTCCAATTACGTTTTTATTTGTGAAAAAGAGAACTGATACCATGGATGCCCCAAAAGACAGCACCATGAATGTGAACACAATCCCTTTCCCATTAATTAGCTATTATTTTTAAAACTAGAAACCTGGTGCACAAAATTTGTGCAGTCAGGGATGGGTCCCTCAGCCCAGGAGCCCTTGGGGGATGAATGGCTGCCGGCTTAGACACCAAGCTGGCAGTAGGACATCCTTAGAGTGGCCGCGGAGACAGGAGAGGCTCCCATCACCACTGCTCCGCTCGCCAGGTGAGTCCAGTGCTCCCCCGTGGGAGTGCACTGACAACCAGGGGCAACTCCTGCATTGAGCGTCTGCCCCCTGAGGGTCAGTGCACATCATAGCAACAGGTCTTTCTGCTGTTATGCCAAGGTTTTGGGTTTGAACTCTGGTTAGGGCACATACTAGTACAAGCTGCAACCAATGAATGCATAAATAAGTGGAACAACAAATCAATGTGTTTCTGTCTCCCCCAAAATAAAATCTTTCAGAGTACACAACAGCATTCAATAAGTAATGAATGATTTCGTTTTTACCATTTTATCCATTCCTTTTGGTCCAAGGCTTGTTCTAATAGCATCAGCAACAGCTGCAAAGGAAGACAAAATCAAGAAGACTCTAAAAGAGCAAATTACTTTTCTTCTCAAATGATCTTTTTGTTCTTATAAGGATATTGTGCAGAACATTTTACCATGTTCACTAAAGAAAACTCATTGTTTAATAACAATCTACTGGAAACAAAGTAACTTACTCCTTTAATTGTAGGACACACACTTCATGCTTTGTTGTTAAAATCACTATACATAGTCCTAATGCTTCCTATGACAGAATAAATTTTGAGGATTTCTCTAATCTTACTTTAAATGTCAAAATGATATCTCTAAACATGGACTGTATTCTTTTCTTTCAAAATAAGACAAGCAGCAATAAGACAGGCTAGATCTCCTACCATAGTATGTACTTTATTTGTTTGACCCCCTCCTTCCAAAAAATGAGAAACAAACACAAAACTAAAATCACAGCTTTCAGTCATTATCAATAAGTTATGAAACATCTCTAGATATACAGTCTAAACATGACAAAGTTATTTATTATTATCTGTTCATGAGACTTGTTTCTATTTCATTAGTCCTCTTACCATCTTCTAAGAGAAACTGGAATTGATGAATAATACTTGACCCTTTTTCTTTGACAAGGTCTAGACAACTGATTAAATATTTCCCTTTCTCACATACCATCTTACTCCATATACACAGGGTTGAAATTGTGCATTAACAGTTTCTGTGTACTCCACAACTAGCATTAAGTCCCCCACCCTCCCATGTGAACAATAATAGATAACCTTAAAGAGCTTAAAGAAAATATTTGGTGTAATTTAAAAATTATTTTTTTTACCTAATTATTGAGGCTGCTGTTCCTAATTGCCCAGTCAATATTATTACCCGTCCAAGCAATTTTAGTGGCCTCTCATGGCCATAATTCTTCAAGCAGAACAACCAATCACTGGCTGGGTGGAACAGTTGGTTGGAATCATCCCATACATCAAAAGGTGGTGGGTTAACCCTAGCTGGTTTGCTCAATGACAGAGCCTACTACGGACTTAAGGATCCACCAGATTCGATTCCAATCAAGGGTACATGCCTGGGTTGTCGGCTCGGTTCCCAGTGGGGGGTGTGCAAAGGCAGCTGATATGATTCTCTCTCATCGTTGATATTTCTATCTCTCTTTCCTTCTCCCTTCCTCTCTGAAATCAATAAAATATAAAAAAGAAAAAAAAAAGACAAAGAAAAGGTGGTGGCCTGGATCTCCAGTCTGGGTGTGCATGGGAGGCAATTGATCAATGTTTTTCTCTCTCCCCTACTCTCTTTAAAATCAATTAAAAAAAAAGAATGCCCTTAATTCATCTACTTGAAGACACTAGAAAAACATACATTATCAAAACACACACACACACACACACACACACACACACACACACACACACACACACGGCCTGATGCACGAAATTCATGCAAGGGGCTCTCACAGCCCCCGAGCCTCACCCACTGATCTTTCCAGAAAGTTGTTCCCTGCTGTTTGGTCTAATCTGCATATTAGCTCTTTATTACATAGGATTATTACGTAGGATTACATAGGATATATTTTAGACTGCTTAACATCTCCCAGAGTGTCTGAAGTTTAACATACACCAAGTGGCACACTGTACTGTCTGTTACGTGATTCATACAGAATAATACTAGACATAACATAAAAAAAAGGCTCCCTAAATTAAACTAAAGGTGCACATTACAGCAGCTTTTCTCAATTAGTTTGTAAGTTTTGTCTGACTTGGAAAGACTACTTGTGCCATTTCACTCTGAGCTCTCCTTACATAATTTAGGACCTAGATTCTAGGTGGCTTCCCTTTCCCACATGCATATTTCCCTTGTCCAGTTTCAAATCTCTGTTCACTGCTGTTTCAAAGGTCACCTAAGTAAACCTTCCATGCTGTACCTTGCTTGTTTAAAATCTATCATATTATATAGCTCTTTTGACCCTCCACATGGCCCAAAAATTTAACATCTTATTTCTAACATAATAAATCTAAACTTGCACTATGCCCCCTTAGATAACTACCTACCCCATCTTTATTTCCAGGTATATTCTCTCCTGAATTTCCAAATGACTCCCTAAATGTGCTCATCTGGTCATTCTGAGCTCTCCAACTCACTAGGCCTATATTTGAGCCTATTCTTATTCCACCATCCTTCCTCCAGGGTACAGTAAGTCCGCACTTAATGTCATTGATAGGTTCTTGGAATTACAGCCAAATGACATATAAGGAAACCAGTTTTACCATTGGCTAACTGATAAATGCAACAGTTATAAAGGCATCTTATCAACGACATAAAGAAACCACATTGAACAAAGCATTATTCGAGGACCTGCTGAATCTGTTTCTTAAGCATCATCACATCTTCAGTCACCTCAGATGAGGACCTCAAGCAGGTATTTGTAAAGGCTGTATTTTATATAGGGGGCTCTTCATATGCTTTCTGACTTAATGCCCACAGCAACCCTTCAAGTTAGCTATTAACTCGATTCTACTGAAAAATGATTTCTAGCCAGGGCAGTTTGTCAAATCCTCTCCAGGATACCAGGCCCTTCAAGATTTGGCCCAACCCTATCCTTCCAATCTCACTTTCCTGATCATTCCCCTCGTCCCCCTCTTTTCTCATGCCCGAATGAAATACTCATTCTACTCAATACACATCACACACAATTTCTTAAGCCTTGTTCTCATCTTTGCTTCCAGAATCTATCTGAATTAATTTCTTTTAATCCTCACAACTCTAATAAGAAACATTTCCCTTTAATGTTATAGGTAAGAAAGACTCGCCTAGAGATTAAAGATTACAAAGCCACGAATGGCAACAGAGCATGAAACTCGGGTCTTGATTGCCAGTGTTCTGCCAGAAAACCCAACTCTAGCAAACTGCTCATGTTTCTTGATTTGCTTGTGTTTGGTTGCACATGCATAGAGAACTTAAAAGCACAATGCACCTTTCCACAATTATTCTCAAACAAAACGGGTCAATCTGTCCCTCCCCCCCAGCCCAATATGAAGGGTCACGCCCCAACTTATAAGCATCCAGAGTTGACCCAATTCCATTCAACAGCTGAGCGAGGCCAACTTATTTACATGTTATTTTTATAATAACAAGAGGACTTTTAAGTATGATGCAAACATTTTACTAACGGAACCAAGAGGCAGATAAGCGACAGGGCTTAACTGTCAGAACCCAAGGGACCGCTACAAGCCTGAGTGAACAGGCTGGAACACGATGGGTGTCCAGGTTGCAGAATGGGCAAAGCCCAAAAGCCTCCATACCCCGGGTGGAGAATTATCGGCAAGAAACAAAAGGATCCTCTCACAGGGCTGCTTCTACTTAAGGACAAATGGAGATCCATAACCACCCAAAAGCAGGGTGAGAACACAAGAGCTCGGCCCTGCAGGGCCGCGGGGCTAGGCCCGGGGAGCGATACCTTTGGCCGCGGAGATGTTGCTGAAGCGGATCTGGGCCGGCTTATCCCGGTCCTGATAGGCGCCTTTGTAGCGGCCGCCGGCAGCCCCGGCGGGCGCCCCGCTCCGGGGGGCCACGTTCTCGGGCATGGCGAGCTGCGCTGGGTTTGCGTGGGGCTCAGGAAGGACGGATGGACGCGGATTACGGCCGGCGGCGAAGTAAGAGAACGCGCCCAAAGCCTTCACGAACCTTCCAGAATGCAGCGCCTGGAGGAGGGAGGAGGAGGGAGCGGAGGGGGCGGAGACGGAGCAGGGGGCCTTCCTGGCGGCGCGGCGCTGGCGTGACGTAGTAGGCTGCCCGCCGCGCGCCCGATGACGGATGCACCGGCTACTTTCGGGCTTGCAGGGGATGTCGGCCTCCGACGCTGGGGGTTCGGAAGTCGGGTTGGTGCCGCGGCGGGGCGAACTCTTGTGTGATAGAAAGGACAACCCTCTGTTTTAAAGGCGGGCGTTGGGACACCCCTGTCTCCCACTTCCGGGTCCTCGGCTGTGAGGTCCCTTAACTGGGGGTGTAGTTCGCTCCGGGGTCGCTCCCTACCGCTTTGGGCTCAGCTGGGTTTTGTCCGGCCGCGTGTTTTGTATTGTACTCGTTCTGAAAGGGAATCGGAGGAGAGAGATTGGGATGTGCGTCTCGTTCCCTTTGCTTGAAGTGTTAGGGTTGGTTGTCTCCTGCTGACTGATACTGGGTGGTACTTACAGATCTAAATTCACCCTCGTTAAAGGCTAGAGAATCTTAAAGGTTTGGAAGCTGTGGTCGCCTGCCAGGTCAAGGACTGCTTCGCTAGTCAGTACAACGCCCTCGTTTTACACTAGTTTTTATCGCATAACATAGACACTGGTTCTCAGGGCGTCATTTTAATAATGATCACTCAGTCTTGCCCAGCGATAAACCCGCCACACCCTCTAGCGCTCAAAAAATATTATATATATAATTTTATTGAATTTTTACAGAGAGGAAGAGAGAGGGACAGAAAGCTAGAATCATCGATGAGAGAGAAACATTAGCTACCTCTTGCACACCCCCTACTGGGGATGTATCCACAACCCAGGTACATGCCATTGACTGGAATCGAACCCGGGACCTTTCAGTCCGCACTCTGAAGCTCTATTCACTGAGCGAAACCTGTTTTGGCTCTCTTTCTCTTTTTCTTTCTCTTTGTAATCACCAAGACAGTACACTGTTAGGTCTCTGAAGCAGGAATGTGCCACCTAACACATACCTGTATGCATAGTTTTGGAAGTCACAGGAAGTTCTACATAAAGATGCAGGCATCGTGCTGAAACCGGTTTGGCTCAGTGGATAGAGCATCGGCCTGCGGTCTGAAAGGTCCCAGATTCGATTTCGGTCAAGGGCATGTACATTCATTGCAGGCACATTCCCGGTGGGGGTGTGCAGGAGGCAGCTGGTAGATGTATCTCTCATTGATGCTTCTAGCTCTCTATCTCCCTTCCTCCCTGTGAAAAATCAATGAAAAAAAAGATGCAGGCATCGAGCTACCTCATGTTTCTTAGTCACCTAAGTGTAGTTGTGCCCAAATACACATTGAAAAACATATATTTTAATTTCCTTTTATTTTTATTCTAAATAACAATTAGGTTATATTGATTTTTAAATTGAGATATAATTCACATACTGTGAAAGTCATCCCTTAAAGTGTACAATTCAGTGAATTTTATTATATTTACAATGTTGCACAATCATAACAACTGCCTATAATTCTAATCTAGACCATTTTCATCACCTCCCTAAAAGAAATCCAGTACCCATTAATGTTATTCTCCTTTTCTCTAGCCTCTGGCAACCATTGAACTACTTTCTGTATGGATTTGTCTAATCCGGACATTTTTTTTTTTAAATCAATCTTTATTGTTCATATTATTACAAAGGTTCCTCATTTCTTCCCCCCTCCTCCAGGTTCCCACCCCACCCTCTGCCCCCTCCCCATCCCCCATTGTCCTCATCCATAGGTGCAGTTTATGTTCAGTCTCTTCTTCCCTCAATTTCCCCAATAGTAAATCCCTTTTCAGATAGTAAATCAGTTACTTAGCATTTTCTCATATCACTAATCCGGACATTTCATATAATGAGATTATATGATTGCTATCATTTTGTGCCTATCTTCTTTCACTTAGCATGATTTATTTTTATTTTATTTATTTATTTTTTGTTAATCCAAACCTGAGGATATTTTTTTCATTGATTTTTTTAGAGAGAGTGGAAAAGAGAGGGAAAGACAAAGAAAAACATCGCTGTAAGAGAAACACATGGATTGGTTACTTCAAGCAGAAGCCCCAACCAGAGCCAGGGCAGGGAGGAGCCTGCAAACAAAGTGCCTTGACCCCGTTCCAACAGGGACTCTGGTCCTCAGGCCGAGGCTCTGTCCACTGAGCCAAACTGGCTAGGGCTACTTAGCAGGTTTTAAAGGTGCATCCATGTTGTTGCGCCTATCAGTATTGCATTCCTTTTTATGAGTGAACTAGAGGCCTGGTGCACATCATTCATCACTGGGGGGCGGGGCCTTCAGCCTGGCCTGCGCCCTCTCAGGGGATGTCCTTAGCACTGCCTTGGAGGCCTGAGAAGCTCCCACCACTGCCGCTGCTCTTTGCAATCCTGAGCCTGGCTTCTGGCTGAGCAGCACTCCCCCTGTGGGAGCGTCTGCCCCCTGGTGGTCAGTGCACGTCATAGCGTTGTTCCACTGTTCAATTTGCATCTTAACCTTTTATTATATAGGATAATACATTGAATTTTTGAAATTATATGGTTAGATAACTAAATTATTATGCATGTCATTTCAGGCCAGTAAAGATGTTGGCAAAATATCTGTTATGGAAAGGAGCATTGGATCAGAGGCGCTGATGTAGCTGGGAAGATTAATTACATAAAAAGGCAAGTAACCATCCAAACAAAGGCATTATTATCAGGGGATAGTTAAATTTTCATGGACAGGTAAGGATTAGGCAGAGATTAGATCCGAGTGATAGATTCTACTCAGTTAGTAGGCTGATAAGGTCTGGCTGGAATGAGATGCAGCCATGCAACCCTATCTCCAGGGATCCGCCAAGTGTTCTTGCCTGGCGTGATGAAGGCAATCAGCCGAAGCAAAGTGATCCTTCTGGAACTGAATGAGTTGCAAAACTCTAAGGGGATGGGTTTTGCAGAGCAGAGCTGGCCGCTGCCCTCACCGGCTCCTGCTAGAACTTGGCTCTCACCACGCTCCCGCCCGCCCCCGGCTCCGCGGGAGCTATTTTGGCCCGTCCAGGCCGCCGTCCCTCCGCGCGGGGCTGCGCCCAGCTGCTGGGGGCGGGGCCTCCGTGGCCATGGCGGGCGAGCTGGAGAGCTCCAAGCCCCTGAGCGGGCTGCTGAGCGGCCTGGCTCAGAAGGATTTCCACGGGCACCCGGGCATCACTGAGGAGCTGCTGCGGAGCCAGCTCTACCCGGAGGTTCCCGCCGAGGAGTTCCGGCCTTTTCTGGCGAAGATGAGGGGGATCCTTAAGGTACCGCTGCTCCCTGCAGCCTCCGCTTAGAGCCCAGCCCCTCTCCCTCCTTTCGGACTCGTCTTCTCCCCCTCCCCATCCCTAAGCTGAAAAGGCTTTCCTCTTTAGACTTCTCCAGGGGGGTCACATGGCCCCTCCAGAATCGGGGCGCGGGCTCCGTCGTCTCCTCTAACTTTCTTTTTTTTTTTTTTTCCTTTAAAAAATATATATATATTTGATTGGTCTTTTACAGAGAGGAAGAGAAAGGGATAGAGAGTCAGAAACATCCGTGAGAGAGAAACATCCATCAGCTGCCTCCTGCACACCCCCCATCGGAGACGTGCCCGCAACCAGTGTACATGCCCCTGACCGGAATCGAACCCTGGATCCCCGAGTCCCCAGGCCGACGCTCTATCCATGAGCCAAACCGGTTTCGGCTCCTCTCACTTCCTTAAGGTGACCCCCCTTCTGCTCAGCCCCTCAAGCGGTGCTGACCGGCGCCCCCGGGAGTGGACGCTGGGTTTTTCTCTGTAGACACTTCTCTTTTGTAGGTAACAATTCCCAGTTGTCTTGGGGGATCTGTGGGCTTCATACTTAAAAAGTCAAGAGCGATGAAATTGTCAGGCTTCCCCGTGTCGGGGATTGGGGGGGGGGGGCGAGAGGAGGCCTTGGCCGGATTGAACCCCTCCCTGTCAGATAGTTCACCGCAACTGCGGCTCTTTGGCCCCTGGAGTGTGGCTCTTCCACACAATACCACGGCCTGGGCGAGTCTATGTTGAAAAAGTGGCGTTAGAAGAAGTTTAAGTTTAAAAAATGTGGCTCTCCAAAGGAATTTCAATCGTCGTACTGTTGATAGTTGGCTCTGTTGACGAATGAGTTTGCGACCACATATAATGGTTAAGAGAGCGTATCTACCAGCTGGAAGGCAAAGGACAAGAAGCCTGTCTGAGAGAAGTGTAATGAGAGCTATCCCGCTCTCCTCCTCTCTGAAAAAATCAATATATTAAAAAAAAAATTTGTAGGATATGTAAATACACAAAAATATTAATATCGGTTATGTTAGCTGATGTGTTATGTATGTCTTTCCATGTCACAAATTTCCATACTTTTTTTAAGTAAGTTAAATAATGTTTATAATAAAAATTAATAAAGGAAAACATACAGGTAATTGAATGTTTGCCAAAAAAAATTAAATCCAGTATTCTTTGGGTGACATACCCCAATTACAAGATATACAAAAACTGTATTACCACAGGTCTTTCCTTTCTAGTCAATCTAATTCTCAAAAAAATTTACAAAATTTTATGGCTTCAAGAGGAGAGACAGAACCAGGCGTTTAAAATACAAATATTTTGCCCTAGCCGGTTTGGCTCAGTGGATAGTGTCTGCCCTCGGACTAAAGGGTCCTCGGTTTGATTCTGGTCAAGGACACATACCTCAATTACAGGATCGATCCTGGCCCTGGTCAGAGAACATGTGGGAGGCAACCAATCAACGTTTCTCTCTTACATTGATGATTCTCTCTTTCTCTCCCTTTCTCTCTCTCTAAAAATCAATAAAAACAGCCCTCACCAATTTGTCTCAGTGGATAGAGTGTCAGCCCACAGACTGAAAGG